CAGAACATACTGATACTAGATTTAGTTAATTACAATGAGATCAGTGCTAACAGTAAGCGCCCGGAACTCAGGGCTGGAGCTTTTCATTTGAAATTATTTTCCGGCCGACCTTGCGATTACGTAATGTTGTACCGTACAGCCTTCCGTTCGTGCTATCAGAGAATAATCAAGGAATAAGATCTATATTACAACAACTCGTAATCTCGGCATCCGAAAAACTAGAGAGGACTACATAAAATTAGGATCCACATTCGATTCAGCTAGGTTAGAAACTGTGTCACATGTTTTTTATTTAAAAAAGATGACCTCCTAAGTGTGCTCACAGATGCCGGTACCGGTACCGGTCGAACGATAAATTTAAGGCGACATTGGAAAGAATTTCCTTTCAATTCTTTCGAGTCGCTAGCGGGTGTACTCAAGTATAAAAATCTGTTATATGGAATACTTAGTATTATTACTTACTTAATAAGGAATTAATAATACTAGTTCTACTGTGCAGTACTCGTAGTGACCTGGCTATCACTACAACACGACTTTGCTGATAGATTGGTCAAACCTACTGCACGGGTCAGTACATTCAACATTGATTACCGGCCTTCATGCGGCGTGTTAAATATCCTGTTATCTGATATCGTGTGTTGCAGTTTGCAACTTGCACTTTTAATTTTTCTGTGGCATTTTAAGTGGTAATGAATATGCAAAACGCCTGACCACGGGCCGCCACAAGGTTTTAGTTTTCTCATTTTTTACGTTGACTAAGTTCTTTTAATTGACATGTTTTACGCCGATGCCGTTTTCGGTGAACTAAGAGGCCGCCTTGAGGCTTGCTGAATAAACGGGAGTCAGAAGACGCATTACTCGCATTGCTTTATAACTTCTAACTAGTCAAGACCAACCTGCGAACGCGATTTTAATTCTTTTAAAACGTTTGAACTTTGGTAACAGTGCGAGTCTACCCATACCACCATTCAGCAATCAATAATAACTACCAGTATGAGTACAACGTTTAACACTTTCATTTGTACTCAGCTTACAGTATTCTTCAGCACTAATGTCTACACTAAGGTCACTACTTCCATGAACAAGTACTGTATATGAACTAATTGTGAATCTGCGAGTATACTCAGTACTCGGCCGGTAGTACTATACTCGTATAGTATACGAGTATTATAATATTATTATAAACTACGATTACTTACATAAATTTCAAAATCACGCTAAGTGTGTGATTTTAAAGTGTGACTACCAAAACTGCCCATACACAGACGGGAGCGGCTCGACCATGCAGTGTTTGTCTAGCGCGCGTTTAGTACGTCTACATCTTAACTATGTATACTGCCACCCTTAAAAAATACTACTTGTACAGTATACACTCTACATTGTAATAAAACGAAATTTAACCGCACTCTCAAAATGGACTAACCTATGAAAGCTTTCAATGAACGCACTGGTCGAAAAGGCAGCGCCGATGCGATACGGCAGTGACCATTCGCTTATTCGTTCCAGATACTGAGATAAATAGGAATACACCTTCCTGTCAGTGCTGACCAATCTGATAAGTTTGGCGCTTTCGGCTTCCGCTTCAGATATTCCACGTGCATACATAATGTTGCCGAACAGTTTTTTTGCATCAGTAATCGAGCGGGCGTTTCTATCAAGCCACTGATTTACATTCTTTCGGACATGCCAAGTACAAAGTATTTTTTTGGCTTCGCCTCCAATCACTTGTTGGTAAGCGTTAAAAAACGCAGGAGCATCATCAGATAAAACCACTGCGTACGGAAATCCAGAATCTGTTGTTTCAATATTTTGAAAAAAGCCGAGACTGTCAACTCGTCTTCGTGGTTCGAAATGCAGTGACAAACTGGGAATCCACGTTCCGAAGCATCGATGCCCATGAGCGTTATGAGTTTGAATCCACGCTGACCACAAACACCATGTGTTGCATCTATGCATAGACTCTTGCAGTTGAGTCTTTCAAGCTGTGCCCTTTGAAAAGGCGTCTGAACAACAGCAATAAAATACGACTCGGGTAATTCTGGGAACTGGCCACATTTTTTGTGAGATGTTCTTCAAGTATAATAAATTTCTTTCCTGTAATGGAACCGTACTCGTAAGCCGCTTCAACTACCATTGACTGGTATTGACAGGTCTGTAATGGCTCCCAGTCCAGCTTTAATTCGTGACGAATGTTGTATACATCTTTCAAAGTGATGTACAAAGCACGCGAGTGAACACCCTCTGCAAAGTTAGTATAACATTGCAATTGGGCGCAACCAATGTAAAACGCTTTAATATTCTTACAAACCTTTCTGGAGTTTTTCCCATGCCCTTTTCCGCACATCTCGCACTATCATGCGCGGGTCTGCGCCTAAAGCCAGTCTGCTTCCGATATCGAGTCGTAATTTTTCGGAAATTTTTTGGGTATGAAGGTCAGCATTGACATCGTGACCATAATGGTGCTCACAGTAAGACGCTACCACTCTCTCACTTGCGATTTTCACCTAAAAAATAGATTTGTTGCTGTTATCATTATATTTATTAGTATAACATCTGTATTTAGTCGAAACATGATAAGTATATTGCAACAGCGCAAATACAAAGATTTCGTATAAAAATAGGTCATGATTCTTTCCACCTCGAAACCATTTTCTTTGGCAGTACAGATAATTTTACCATAATCTCCATACCAGGGAACAAAACGGTTCACGTTTACACGTTACATCCGCTGACGAAGCCGTTTCGATGAAGATTATGGTCACGCAAGATTTTAATTTGTTTACCCAAATTCTCCGCGTTATTAAGTACCGGTGAGAAAGACATTCCCTGGCGAGGTCGGTTTATTTGCATGAATAACGAAACTCGGTTTACTTGCATGAATAGAGTAACTCGTGAATTTTCCATAACTGCACGGGTCTGGTGCGCACAATATTCTGTACTTCTACAGTCGGCATAAACTAAGTTTTAATCAATAACAGCATAGTGTTTTACACTTCGCTTTACAAGCACCTCTGCACTAATGTTACCACTTGATAAATACTGGCAGTTGTGCACTAATGTTAGCACTTGCTAAATGTGGTCTACTCTGCACTATGCTCTACATGACCTTTGTTACTAGTTTCGAAAATTTTAATCTGTTACTTGATGTATGATTTAGTAACAATGCTCTAAACCGTACTTTAATAAAAGCGGTACATTTGAGCTTTCGTTCTTTTTTCAAAATCCCGTCTCCGGCACATTTAAAATTCCGAAAACAAGAATACATTCTGAAAGAACTTTCGGCTCCTGCTTTTTTCTCTCCATTGGCATGATTGAATTGACTAGCGGTGACATCTTCAAAATCAGCTTTCCAAGACAGAAATTCGTCAAACGTTTGAAATGCCTTCTCTTTCACGCTGAATTCAATCCGATTATGAAAAACAGATAAATGTGAAATCAAAGACTCAAGATAATAAAAGGCAAATTGGCAGTCCGGCTCTTGACATTTTCCCGCTACGACACAAATACAGTATTTCAGTTTTCACAAGTTTATCTCGCAGTCTTATTTTTAACCCACCAATTGTTGGAACCGCAAATTCTGGATGGTACTTTTTTACGTGACGGTTTAAGTTTGACTTCGTCGAAAAGGATTTGTCTCCAACACAATGATCACAGCGCAGATCTGTAGACGACATATTTAAGATAAGCCGACAATATTTAACCAAAAAATACCGCTGGCCCAATGGATAACATTGCAAAATGATTTTGAATTTCTAGAAAGATTCGAGCATGTCTCACTATTTAAGACTAGGGTAATTCTTTCAAAGATTGCAATAAGAAAGTGTAAGAAATTTGATTACTGAATCTCATGGCATCATTATTTACCAATGCAGTTATCAACCGCATGTGCATTTTTTTTGTGCCGCATGTTCATTTTATTGCAGTGTGCTTCGTACGCTCAGAAGCGCTATTACAGTTCCGAATTCCAACTTCCAGTGGATTTCGGGAGAGTTAGAGAGTGGATGGATGTGCAAAACGCTGCCACCGAGCAATACGTAGAGTCCATAAAATGAACTGAATTACACGAATATCACACATCCCAACCCTCCAGCAGGATCGGATCAGAGCACAGACTCACGTGCGGCTGGCCGATTGATGAGTCAGCCGTCCGCCTGTTGATAAGCGCCGCAGCGGATATCGAATTCCTATCAGTGGATGTGCAGGCCCAATAACAAAACTCTCCAAATTGCGGATGTAGCGCTTTATATACCGTTGAATGATTGTGGATGCATTATGACGTAGATACGTGGGAAAATGTTATGAAAAGGTGTTATATCGCGCAACATGAATATTCCGTAATGCATTATGCAGTTTGACAAACCGCAGAAATAACACGGGCGCTAATGAGCAATGAGAGGTGTCAACAAAGCATCGGAGCGGCACGAGACGAAGCGCTAACATAAAACATGATTGCTAAAAATTCCGTTGAAATCTGCACTCACACCAATCATTTTCCAATTTCAAATTTGAGTAATATCTTGATATTGATTTAATATTGCAAAAATTTTACATATTTTTAGCGTAAATTATCGAACGATGCCACAATTACCCTCATTGTTAACAGTTCGCCACGCGCCGCTACACACCGATTTTACTGCTTCCGGTCATGCTACATTTTTCGCCGCAAATTGACTTTGGATTGTGTAAACGCCGTGTATACAATCTGCATGCGGTTTGGTTGCAACATTAATTAGAATATGCCGATGACAGTCGACAATTTTTCTACCGTGAAGCGTTGCGTAAAAACGTGTCAGAATTATTCCACCACGGTGCCAAGAAAGTCAGATCATCGGTGCATCTTTGCCAATTTTTTCTTGCCGGTGACAAACAAAGCCCATGGAAATTAAACGCCTTGTTTTATAGTTCACTGTGAGGGCTGTTTAATATCATACGGAAAACCTTTTACTTCATTTCTAAAATTTAAACCACATTTAGTTTTATTTACAACAAAACCGAGCATTTTGATGTAATCTGACCTCATACAACACAGTGCAGAACAACTACAAAGTTCCATTTAACGCTCCCGCTCCTTATGTTGTTTCCGAGCATAAAAGCGGCGTTGCAGGAGAAGTTTAACAAAAACAATTATCGGAAAACTAAAAAAGAAACCAACCAGTATTTTATTTGCACTGTGCTTTGTAGTTCTTTAAGTGACATCGCACTGCCATAATCAACAGCAACACCGATTTTCAGTGACTGTAAAATAAGTACCTGTCCCGCTCCCCTTCAGTCCTTTTCCTCCAGCCGCTCATCCAGCTCCCGGGCCATCTCGCCCAACGTATTGCTATCGTCTTCGTCCGCGTTGAAACGAAATTCCACATCAGCCTCACTCGAGCTGGTCAGACTGAGATCCTCCTGTTTCAGCTGTTTGGCCATTCGCTCTTCCGCTTCCTCGTCCTCGCTGGACTCTAGATCCAGCGTGTCCCGCTTCCGCTTCGTGCCCCGCTCTGCACCGAACACCGGCGCGTGTTCACTGATAAATTCCTCTTCGTCGTCCTCATCGAAGGCGCCTTCCACCTCGTGATCCATCCAGAGGATATCGTCGGCTGAAAGTCTCGATAGATAGCTCGCTGACCGCTCTATTGTCGAGGGAGACGGGTCCACTGTGTCCTCCTTTATGGAAGAGTCAGCGGCGTTGTCCGCAGTGTTACTCGCCTTCTTCGTATCGCCTGTACTGCCCATCGACTCGCTTTGGCTCACTGCGGTGTCGCGGCGTTGTGGGTATCCGCTGCGAGGTGCGTTCAGGTCAACAGGCAGACGCAAACCGGCACTGCTGGCCTGGTGAAGGGGAAAGAGTTTCTCGTCCACACGATCCCAGCGCCGCACACACTCGGCCAGCCAGTCCGCGTTGACCACATGCACGTGTCTGCAAGTAAACAAATTATAAATCAGCTTCAGGAGTTCTTAAAAACAGTCAAGCTGTCAAACGTTTCACATCACATTATTCAAATCAAAAATTAAATTTCAAAATCAAACGCGGCCTTGTGCACCGGAAACTTTGAAACGAAGAAAATAGGTACTTAAAATTAGATAAAACATTTCAAATGAAATTTGATTTAAAATGAAAAAGAATTTCAAACGCAAAAGTAACAATTTTCAAAAACAGCTGTTTTCACAATTTTCGTTCTTATACTGAACACAAATGTACAACGTTGCAATACGGTTTAATTTGGCAGTAGTTTATTATGTACGTCGAATCGACCAGTAATACGCTGATCTTTTCCACTCAAATTAGCTTTTGTTTAAAACGTTTATCTTTAGGCCAATGCCGGAAGAGAAAACAAATACATACAATTCGCGGGCCTTGTGGACTTTTTCCGTCCCATCCCTAGCCGCAACGAGATGCGTCGTGTAGTTCTTTGGCTCCATAGCTCTATCCAAGAGGCCTGACTGCATTACTGCACCAAATGACCGCACCAAATCTTCCGCTTTATCCCTGTCCGGTGAGGGCGTGTCGCTTGGGAAGAATCCGGAGAACACCAACCGGCATCCCTGGAGGACCTTCTCCCGCAGCGCCGGTATCACCTCTTTGGTTTTGGGTAGACGTTTTGTGCTACTGGCCGTCCCGGCGCCAGCCGGATTTAGCTCGTCAAACCGGCGGTAATACTCGGCGTGGATGTTGACGAGAATGGTCCGCAGATACAGCAGGTAATCATCTACGTCTTCCTGTGTCTCAGTCGCTGCGCCGTCGGCAAAGCGGTTCTCGTACAGGTGCTTCGTGGCTTCCGCTTTTTCGGGTGCTGCACCGATGGTGACGGCGTTCTTGGGAAAGGGCGCGTTGATGTCGCCGGTATTCTTGAAGTAGGCGTACGGCCGCACGTGTACGAGATTGGCGGCGTAATTCCACACGTCCTCCCGGTCGTCGATGATGCATACCATATCGTCCCCCACCGGAAACAGATCCCTATCAGCCAACAGTTAAGCCAGTACTAGCAACACCATGCATGCAGTACAATTCAAAAAATAAATCGAGCTGCGTAAAGCGGGAAGTATTAAACCCATGGGTCCAAGCCATTTGACAGATGACGGCACGATACATCATTCCCGTGCATACAGTAACCGTGCAGCCAGGACAAAAAAAATTCAAGTACTGCAGCATAACAATTCATGATTAACAATTACTGTGTGCCGCTTCAAACGTACAGCTTCACGCGGCTTAAACCCTTGCACTACGATGCCGAATCACGATGCATCACTCTCCGCAGTCATTGATTTTTACAAGAACAACGGTACACAGAATGCCATTGTTTAGGTACAGCAGTAATCCAGAATAGTGAAGAATTAAGATTACTTAAATCAAAATCAATCAAAATTAAAAATTATATTAAATTAAAAATTATTTATTAAATTGAGCAAAATTAAAAATTATACTGCCTTTAACAAGTGTCACAAGCGAGTACAAAAAAATATTCAAACTAATTAATCGATCAACCACCTTCATTTATTTAGCGGGTGAACAACTCCATCTATTACCTAGACTGAACCCCTGCACTACGATATCTACTCAACATTACTGTATCCTACTGTGTCGTATAATCATTCTGCCGCGCCTACACGAGTCGGTAAAATTTCCGAATGGACTCCTAAAGGTCAACGTACTTTATGTTGGCGGTTTTGAGATGTGGATCCGCGATCTCATCGCGGGACAGAATGCGATGGGCGAAGAGTGTCTGGTTGGGATCCAAAATCTCCGCAATCTTGTGGGCGTACATCCGGTTGCCAAAAGTGCAGATGTGCAATTGATAATACTGGAGCAGGTCGGTGAGGAATTGGAGTGTGCCTGGGCGGAGTTTCATGTGGTACCAGGGATTATTTACAGGTCCCTTCGATAACTGGAAGTGGTGGACGTCCTGCAACCATCAGCCGGCACCAACGCAGTTATTAATGAACCCGATGAACGTAGAACCACAAACTAACTTTCATATTACTGTTGACAGCAGCGATGGTGGTATGAATGAGGGTCTGGTCCAAGTCGACCAGCAACACCAACCGCCGGTTGGCGATCAGGTGCTGCACGTCGTCCTCGCCAAGGCGTTCAGCGATCTCCTGGCTGACTTTCAGTTCCGATATATTATGTACCTACACAATTAATCGTAAAAATACCTGTTACGTACACCTTATGCATATAAAGCAAGCCCATTTAAAATCAAACCGACCCATGTAAATGGGAAAAATTAAACGCATGGGCGTGTTCGTATTCAACGTATTCAATTAAACGGAGGAGGAGATTCAACAGGAGGAGATCGTAAGTCTGATTTATTTCTAAACTTGTACAGAGTACAAACAAATATATATATACCATATATATAGGCGTATACCACGGATACTTTGCAGCCAACGCACTGCAATAATACTCTGCATCACATACCGCTGATACCGGGCTTACGGTTTACTCCAAGTACAATAGTACATAAGTAGGTCTAATCATAGAAGTAAACAGTATCTCGCCGAGGGTTATTTTAGTGTTGATAGTGACTTAAAACTGTATGAGCGTGTATTTTAATCGTAAGTAAAATTTAATACTTTACATTCCACCGCGTGATTTAGACAGAGCTAGGGATACGACAAAAACAAACCTTAAGCCTCAGTGATTTTTAATAATTTAGAAATATGCTACGTACCACGGAATTATGTTTGCAAAATGAAAAAGAACGGCGCTGTGCAAATGGCGGACGAAGCTTACCATCGTTACACCCGGTGCTGATTCTGCCTGCCGACTGCCGTTACCGGATCCACTTGCGGCGCCGCGCAGGTCGGCGCCGCACGCAGCACACAAATCTTTCATGCGGATCTCATGGGAACAGCCCGGCTTTATCCTCACCATTACCATCCTGCAAAATAAGTAAATATAACGCAAAACTCCTGACTGTACATAAAAAAATACAAGTAACCAGCACAGGCTCGTTACGTCATATTCAATAATTGGAAAACGATTATTTTTAATCCAATATTACTGCACATGATGATAACTAACAGCCACGCACTCTGGTGCCAAATGCACAGAAAAAGTGAAAAACACCCAAAAAGTTAATACCTACCTGTTACGACAAGTACCTGCTCGTAAGGACATCCCCGTTTCCGATTAGGATATGAGTAACCAAGGCAGTTTCTGGGCAGCGGAATTTTCCATCATCGGGTTTAGATGTTTTTTCGTCATCTTGGCTAGGAATGCGATAAGTAAACAACACTTGGCCACGGGAAACCTGCTCCCCAACGCGTACTTTCAACTTGGTGATTGTCGATCTGGTTGGGCCGTCGAACAGCAAGTCCTTCGTATTATCCTCGACTCGCTTTGCTTCCGCCATTTCCAACTCCTACAAATCAAACATCGTCAGAACGTAACGAATCAGCCGTCTTTCACAGTACTTGCCGAGTTCTTTGTTCTCACCGAACCGTTTATAGAGTATGTGGGTTTCAAATTTCGATATCAGCAGTTGCCAGACTTCGTTACTGACTTCAGTAATTTAGCACCTTCCATCTTCTCACTTACTCATACCGTTTTACCTTTTCGAACACTGGTTAGGCTTGTTACGGCGTGGTTGCAATATCTGCTTCGCTGCTTGTAGAGCTGGATAACACGCGAGCGCCACGGATTAGGAATGGCAGGTCTCTCGCAGTCCGCCACTACAGACAACGAATCACGACTTCTATCGAACGCTGCTGCGGTACGTTGAGAGACTTGAGACAACAAATTACATAATCTGTCGGCGTTTCGTTCGCATAGTGTCCTGGGACCACGGTTCCGAATGAAGATGCAAATGTAGTTTCAGTACCAAAGTAGCAAAACTGAAAACCATAAATGTGAACAGCTGATCAAACGAAGACAGAATGGAACTCCGAGGCACGACAGTCAGTGAACTGAAGACTGACTTCGCGCTCATGTCGAACGCAGCGGGCGGCTGCCAATCGACACTCAACAGAAGTGCTGGCTCAAGTAGCGAAATTCCGTTTCCTGCTCTTCACTCTTCAGATTTGAAAAAAGTCCTCAGAACAAATCTACCATTTTACTTTCGCTTGTATACGATTGATTATTATGCTTCGATTTTGAACCCGCTGAAGATGGCCACTTTAACGTGAACATCGTCGGATCGTTTCATAAGTGAATGGCACTCAGTGCACGTTGTATACAACAGCGCAAACTAGACAACAACTGAGAAATGGCCGATGTGCCCATGGCCAACGGGCATTTGGAGCCCGGGGAACTAGCCCTTCTGGCCGCTACATCGGCTGCACACCACCCCGACCCCCCTCTCCCCAATGGCCCCCACGTGATCGTCTCCAGCCAGCCGCAGCAGTGGCGGGATATCCAGGCACAGTTCGCCGAGTGGTCGCGGGAGATCCATCCGGGGGAACTGCTGTCCACGCCCGCCTTTACTCTCTACGACGCCATGTCGGCCATCGAGCTCATGGATGTGAAGATGGATATCGGGTTGTCGCTCAAGGACCGAAAGGTAAGGGAAACGGCGGGGTAGCGAATTGTCGCGGTGTATGGGCAACGACAGGGTCGACGAGGAACTGTCGTCTGGCTCTTCCCGACGCTTGTGTTTTTCTCCGTGTATTAATTTGAATATGATTCCCATAGTCACGGAAAAGTTTTAGATAAATAATCTACAATTTCTGTCCTGACACTGCTGGATCGTACTGAGTTCTTTTCTGATGGTGATGTTGAATTTTTCCTTCCGTGTTGTGGTTTCCCCCCAAGAACTTTTGAAGTAGTCCAAAGTATTTTTAACTATTTTTTCGATTTAAAACAAACATAAAATCCGTAACGCGGTTGTTGAATTGCGGTTTACTTAATAAATTTTTATGTGTGGGCTTTCAATTAAAATTATCACTGTATAAATTGAATTAGCCCGTAAGCAGTGGCATTAGATCGTAGTACTGTGGCACGCAAGCCTCAAAGGGATTCGAAGTGGCGATTTCAAATGTGCACGCGTAATTATTAAATTTCAGCTGGTAGAATTGCTTTTTGCTGAATTCATAATGTGAATGTAAATTCACCGCGAAATACTGGTTATAGCAGTTTTTGGTGGCAAATTTTTGGATATAATAAACGGGTTAATTTTTTAAATGCAGATCAAATCCTTCGAGGATGGTGTCGTGAAAGGCCTGATGAAACTGGAGGGTTTCAGCTCAAGCGATTATCTGGCTGTGATGGACCGGAGTCTGCCGTTTGTGATAATGTGGATGCAGGGCCACTGTGTTGCTCAAACCGTCTTCACGCTGCTTTACCTCCACAAACCGGAGGCACTGCGGGACGAACTCATGCACGCCTACTGTGTGACGCTGCTGGAGCTGATTGATCATGTCCGGCAGATTATGCTGGATGGCGGCGTCGTCGAGGAAGAGGACTTCCAGGTTAGGAAAGCGTGTGGCGCTGCGCTCCGCAAAAGTTTAGCTTGAATATGGGTTTTTGGACTTACAATTGTAGATTTTATAATTCATGCCTTTAAGCATTTATCCTCAATAATCTCTTTCCGGTTAGAGGTTGCAATACAATTACACATTTACAAGTTCCTTTCGGCATTGTATAGAAGCGTAGTAATGTGGCACACTATGTTATTTGATTGCGTGACCACTGTATGTGCCAGCATTTTCGGTAGAGTAAAGATTAATTCATTTTCATTGGGTGGATTTTTTGAATTTTTTGTATCGCTGGTTCAGATGCTTATCCTGAATAATTCCGATGTGCGCGTACTGAATCTGAGCTGGCAGCCTGGCGCTAATGACGGGATTTGCAAATTGCAGTTTGCATTGCATGAAAGCGAAGTGGTGTGGCACATTTGAATTAACTGTTCTGTTTACCCGTACTGAATTTGGCTAAAACCGTAACAAGGAACGTAACAAGGATTAAGCAGCAGTGGATTTTCACACCGAACCACAAAGCCCCAGGAAAATCCACAAAGCAGTGGATTTTCACACCGAACAAGGATTTTGTGCCGTTTTATTTTCATGGTTCGCTTTTGCAGCCTCTCTTCGTGGTTGGCGTTACTGTTTTTTGTAATTTTTATGTACTTAATTTTTTGTTGTACTCCCAGTCTGATTCGTGCATACTTTGTAGGTGATGTCGCCGATCAGCATCCCCAACCTCTTCAACGACCCCAGCAAACCCCGCTCCGCCCTCTCGAAATCTCTCAAAATTGCCGAGGAGACCTGCGCCCGCAATGCCCGCCGGCTGAAATCCGCGGCCTCCCCGGCGGAAGTCGACGAAGCAGCGCGCTGGAACGCCATCGCCCTGCGCTTCAAGTTCCTCCGCACCCTGGTGCAGTTTCTCTCGGCGTTCCGCTGGCGGTCGGACGCCTTCTTCACCGAAGCGCCACAGCAGTTGGAGGTGCTGCAGACCACCCTGGAGAAGATTGTGGGAGGATACTTTCTGGACGGGGAGCGGGTACTGCAGGCGCCGGGTTTTGAGCCGCTGATTAATCTGCATTTATTGCCGCCGTCCTTTCCCCGGCACACCCCGTTGACGCTGGGTGAAGAGACGTTCGTCTTTATGAAGCGGCTGGTGGACGGGTTGAAAGTGGTGATGAGCGTGAGGGAGAATGTGGGGAAGTTGGATGTGCTGTTGGGTATGTTGCGGAAAGAGTGTGGGCTCTCGTCGTTGGCGCTGATCAGGTATGAAAATCGGTTTTGCGGAAATATCGTTAAAGCAAAAGTTAATTGAGGAATTCTAGATGAAATGCATCGTATTATGACTCGTGTACGGTATATTTATGATGTAATAAACTATGCATACCAAGCTGGTTGAAAAATCGAAAGAGGCATGAGCAAAAATTGTATGCAGGCAGTACAGCGTTTTTATCTGTAAAGAAATGTGCGGATTTCTCTATCATTACTTCTTGCATGAATTCTAGGAGAAACCATATTATCGTGCGTTTCTACGTTGTAATTTTAGCAGGTTAATTACTGCGGTTTTGTTTATTCAATAGTTTGTTTTCATTTGGCGATGCAGTTATCTAAAGATAAACGAATTATTTTTAAGAAATTTTTCGTTTACGCGTTGTTCGTCAAAAGCGGTCGTTTTCAGTCAGCTTTTCGTAAGTGCACTGCGCTCTGCTGTGACAGATGTACAGAAGAACTTCAGCCAGAACTCTACGATTTTTTATTTACTCTACGATTTTAATACTGTATATGTGTATATGCGTACATATCTTATAATATGTGCCAGAAGAGTATAACTGTATAAATGCGCATTCCGTCCAGCAGTTTTTTTAGGAGCATTTTTGTTGGATTTTTGTGTTCGGCTATGAAATTTTGTTGTTGTAATTTTTGTGTTTCCTTCTTTATTTTGCCTTAAGTTGGATTTGACCAATGAAGACCTGAAAAGCTATTGCATTAGTAAATGAGCATTTACGTTAATGCCCAGTTATCTTCGACTGTTGTGTTGTTTAGGTCGATGATGCAGATTGTGATCAGCCACTCCCTGGGCATCAATCTCCACTCCCCTCATTCCTATCCCTCCGCCCCGATTTCCCAACCGCCTCCGTGGTTCCTATTGCCGTTGAGTGACGGCATCATGGAGTCCATCCGCGTCTTCACCTCCGCGCCCGTCTTCCTGAATTCGCATCTACCCCAGTCTGCCGAAACGACGGAATACGCGGGAACGTTCGTCCGCAGTTGTGTGACGGTCTTCTCCAATTTACTGCGGGTGTACGGGCTGAATAAGGCACGACAGCGGGATGCGCTGGGCGTGGCGCTGGTGGATGTGTTCACGCTGCAGGAGGACGCCGAGAAGCTGGATGATTATTTCAATCAGCAGTTATTGGTAAGGACTAAATTTCAATTAGCGTGTATCTGTACAGTACTTTGCCGGGGAAAAAAGTCCCAAATTAGAAAAAAACGTGCAAATCGTGAAAGAAATTATAGCGTTAAGCAGCTAAAGGGGTAAACAGGCTGATGTTGTACAGATGTTGTATTTGACTTATTTACAATTCAAAATATAGAAAACATAAAGAGAATAGTCAGATTAGTATCTAGAAATTTGGAATATATACTCTAGCAGTAGTAAGTACTAGTAAATTTTAGTTTCTAAAAGTAATTTCAGGTTTTAGTAAGCACTGAGCAGTGTGTTTGTAAAGGGAGATTTATTTCGAATATGGTGTTATAACGCACCTGGGCGAAATTATGTCATTGTGTTTTTGCATTTTTACGAATAATTTGTATGTATCTGTATATGAATGGTTTATAGGAACAACGTCTGCCGGGATTTACACACCACTTTTGCCTGGCATCGTGGACACTGATGACGATGCTGCACTGCATGAGCGAGTACCTGTTATCGGGATTCGAGCTGGATTTGTACGCGCCGACGGAGCTGCACTTTGTGTACTGGTATCTGTACGATGTGCTGTACCACTGCGAAATCCAGACGGTGGCGCGCGCCGATAATGCGGTGCGGGAGAATGAAACCGCGTTGGGAGCGTTCTTGGAGGTATTAAAAATTGCTCGTTACTTGAATGTGAGGGCTTGTGCCGTACAGATTGGGTGTGGTTAAAAGGATTCCTGAATTGATCGCGTGGGTAGAATAAATTTTTTTCGAAAAAGAGGTGCTTAGAAATTTATGCTTGTGATCCTGGATAAATTTACGAATGGACGGTTAGAGTGGAAACCAGTTCGGTAACTTATCGTAGAACAATGGATTGTACACTGTGAAATAATGCTGCACCTACGTCGTTTGCGATCCGTTTGATTATATTATTTAAAATGAAGTTCAAACTCCTAACACGTTGTAGTGTAACGATTTTTTGAATTTTTCGCGTAACGTGCGTGTACAGTTTTACTGTATCTTGCGGTATTTCCAATCTTTTACAGCATTCCGTTTGACATTTTGTGGGCTAGAACTTCGTTGTGCCTGCTGTTATGACTTACGAGTGAATGTTTAGTGCCTACCTGAAGCACAAATTACATTTTCCTCCGTGATGACTGTTTACGGAAATTGTATGATAATTTGTACGTTTCATTAATTTGTACTTGTAGAATGAAGCACGCATGGTTCGCAAGAACGGCAAGAAGAAGCCGCCGCTGAAGAGCAAAACCTCCGATTCCAGTCTGAACTCCCGACCGCACCGCGGGGTGCTGGCGCGGGCGCAATCCCTCCATTACCTGTGTGGCGCCTACCAGCTGACCGTGCTCGGTCTGCAGATGCAGGGTAAAATCCGTCCCAGTGATGACTCTCTGGACAACGAAGAATTCCGCTATTATAATCGGTAAAATAAAAGAAATGACAGATATATTGCCCGTCAGACAGGAACCGTACGTATTTTTACTGTAACTCTGTAGGCTGTACGGTATCTTGCTACTGCACTGCCTTTGTAGCATAAATATATCTGTACATTGTGTGAAGATTAGGCTTTTTAATTTGTATAAATTGTACGTTGTAGGTTGATGCCGTTTATGGAGCGCAACGCACCGGCCTTTGTCGATTATGAGCACTACTGCGCAGTGCGCTCCGTTCTGTGTGAGCATCAGCTCTTCCCTGGTCGGCTGGACTTCGATAAGAACAATGAGAGCAATGCGGTTGTGATGGATATTTTCCGGAGGGCATCGCAGAATATTCAGAATGCTGAGAAGTTGTTTCCCTACTGGGCTGATGAGGACCAAGTAAGGGGTATCAGCGGTTAAAAACACAACGAAAAAATTTTACATCTGTGATTAGGATGATGCTCTAACCGGGCAACAATTTTCAGAGTTACAGCTTGGTTTGATTATGATTTGCACCACAAATTACAGTTTACGGTATATATCAGTTTATATTCTAAATATATATAAGTAAATTAAATTTAAATATTGTTTAAACTTACATGTGCCGTAAATGACAGTGCAGATCATAATCAAACCAAAATTTGCTCTGAAACTGAGCTAACATGTATGGTTCACGGAAAATTAGTTAACCAGACAGTGGCCATTAAAATAACAAAACAGCAAGCGCGGTGACATTACTTCGTGATTTCAGAAAGTTATCGTAGAACAGTGGAATCGTTGCTCCTCAGTAAACACAGAGATTTGTTCAAATTCGAACTCCAAGTGGAGCTAATGGTTCTTTTATAGATTATTAAGAAAAAGGTTTATTTTTATTGAAGTTCATTTATTTTATATCGCATTATTGGACGTTGTTACGACCACCATGATAATCAGATTCTCATGATTTGAACGATTTATTCGAAGCAATTCTAATGGATGAATTTCGTTTGCAGAAAGTGCGTTTGACAAAAGTTTGTCGACGGAATGATGTGATTTTGAAAATTCTTGCCACTGGACGAAATTGCAAGGTATTTCTTTGCTCGCTTTCGCTCTATGGATTCTGTATTAACTGTTTGTTTCTGTTTGTAGAGCGTGGAGCTGGTGCACGATGAGCATCCGTGGTTTCCTAGTCTGAAACTGGTGTGACGCAGTGAACACAGTGGATAGATTGTATGCAATTTTTGCGAGTATTTTCCGTTGTTGATGGGGTGGCTTGTCAAAACGGAGGGGTGGTGCTGATTGGTTTGCTTCCCGGTTGTGGTCTGTGCGTGGACAATGCAGGGCTTTCCCCTTTTTTCAACTTCGTCTCTTCCTTCCAGTGTACTTCGGTTATTCTTTCTCGTTCAGTTTGAATTTCCTGTCTGTTTAGTTCATCTACTGGAATTTACATAAAAAATTCAGTCTGAATCCGAGAGAATATTTCCTAACCTCTGCAAAAAAAATAATAAAACCTGGACTACCGTAACATATCAGGATATAAGGAGTATATCTGTACTTCCGTTATTACTTTCTCGTTCGGTTCGAATTTCCGTTGAATTCATCTACTGGAATTAAAATTCACTCAGAATGCGCGGATACATCGGAAAAAAAAGGAAAATCGCCTTACAAACCACTGCAAAAAAATCCTATAAAACCTTGACGGAAATTATTCATCCTGTTTTGATGAGGGCCAAATCTCATTCGTCGCATTGTCGGCGCAGATACGAATCGCGGCAACAGCGCAATAAAAGAGATCATAGCTCCACAATCTCCAGATGATCTAAATATACAACGTGGACCGGTCGTGGATACGGTAGAAATAGTCCGTATCACATATTATTAACATTGTCAAAAGGAAAACAGTGGTAATACACCGAAACTCGGGTCACTTTCCCTGCTGTGCAGCAATGCAGTCAACTGTCACACCGTTAGTAAGTCAAGCACAAGCCGACATAAAAACCCGGCGAACTTCCGTGCTGATCCAATCCCCACTGAAACCACCTAATAAGTAACGTCCTGAGAAAACGCCATACTTTTTCTCAAGACGATATTCACAAGGTGGATCAGTTGAGCAGTAAAAGCAAGGCCATCGCAAAATTTCGAATACGGTCCTATGGTCAAATGTTCAGCCGGGAAGAGGGAAGGAAACGACCATTCAGCTTCATACTGGGATAACGTAGATCGCCCAATTGGGATCGCAAATCATACGCAGATTTACCCAGGTCCGAGGACACAATGATTTACCGGGCCTCCAAATAAACAAATAAACCGCCATCACTCACAACCGATGCGACTGCACTCCGTAGGGTCGGTCGCCGGCATGGCGTCCAGTCCACTTCCAGTCGCTTTTCGACACGCTGCACAGCCTACACCAGAAAATATGCGTGCAAAATAGAATCCTCACCATCATACCGAGTGATACACACCACAATTTCTTTAGTGCTTATTCAAACGCCGGATTCTCTGTAAACGGATGTAAAAATCTAGCAAAGGCGGGGGTGAAAGGAGGAAGGAAGGAACTCTGCGTACCATATATAAATATACGCACTGTATTAACACAACATGCAGCAGGAGCGTAGTACAGTGGCCTGGAAGGCAAGTCATGTCGACATTTGACAGAGTACACATTAATGAAAAGTTGATATCTTGAAAAATATGTCCATGTGACGCACCACACGTACACCAGAAATTTTTTAACTTTGTTTCTAATATATTTGCATCACTTAATTGCGTGTTTATATTACGAGAACCTACAATCAGACTATGTCGCAGCCGTGCTTGCTGATACCGATCGGTCATCAAGACAGTTACAAAAAAGTCTGCATGTAAATTTCGCTTGTTTACAAAACCAGTGAAAAATGGTTTCATGATTTCGTCCACCGGTCAGTTTAAAAATAGTTTCCAGTTAAAAGCACCTTATCAGAACGATAAACGAAAACATATTGGAGTTAACTGTGAATTTAAAAAATGACAAATTGGTACTGTCAGTATTTTATTTTGTAGTATCAGCTCCTCCAAATTGTTCACATAATTATCTACAACAAAAATAGAAATAAATTATCAGGCGCTTCTGAATGTGATTATCCACACTAAATACACTTAAATTATTAAACTGCATTAATGTAAATTATCTTTTTGAGCAATTACTTGACCATACGTTGACGGCACACCTTTTCCGGAAGTACAAGTAGTTGATAACGGGGCGATGGTAGCCGTGAATTAAATCGAATTTTGTAATTCCGTTGATACACATAACAACGTCAACAGCAATGTAAATATAATTATTTTATTACTGTAATTTCCAATTCTGTGAACGTTCTGTATCAGTATCATCCGCAATTTGGTATAAATACTGTATTTACATCTACTTTTGTGTAAATCCTGTAACTAAATTCTACTTTTACGCGCGACAGAATTTTGTTGCTTTCTCTTTTCCCAACTTTGCGCCGTAGTTTAATTTTTTTTGTAAAAACATTTTTGTTTATGTGTTCATATATCAGCAGAAGATTTTTATTACGTCTTTATAAATTTGACTTTATTCTTGCGATTTGTTAGTTGTTTAGCTTTCTTTATTTCAACACAATGTCAGTGGTTATGGAAATTTTTGGTTTATTTTCCTTAGCAGAAAGATCAGCGATAGCAGCAAATAGAGAGATATTCAAGCAGTCGAAGACAAAACAAGTCAAGTATTATGGTTCAGCAAATGTCCGGCGTCTTCAGCACAAAGATTACATTTCCAATTTCAAAGATAAAAGCCAGCTTCATCAGCTTTACGACACTAACTCGCAGCAGTAAATTCAAAAGAATTAGCTCGGTCGATCATCAGACAAAATTTTACAGTGTCCAGGGAAAACTGAAGAATTATTAGTATGAGCGGTTACACAGTACCATATCCAAAGTCATGATGATATTATTGTAAAAACAATTTCAAGCTACCAACGCAAAAATTTGACAGAAGAACACTCATGATATCCCAACTAAATCAGAAAGAAATATGACAAAGCGATTTTTGCAGATTAATTTTCCAGCGCTTATTTTTGCCCAAGAGTAACAGTAGTATCCCGTGTCGGAACGAGCGATTGCATACGAACCTTCACAAACCAGTAAACAAATATTAACCATTTTTCAAATATTATTATTCCTGCATCCTACAACGTTTTTCTACAAAATTAATATTCAAGCGAACAAATAATCAATAAAAGTATTCATCGTTAACAACTGGCAACATATACTTAACATTCGCGTTTAAACAGTCATAAAATAAATACACATAGATACAAACATAGAAAAAAAGAAGTATTTATTACCTTCTGGCAAAATAATATTTTCCGCTGAACTTCCCGTATAACTCAGTATCCTCCCTGTTGTGCATAGGGAGAGGGGCGCGGCTGCTTAGGCGCTGCAAATCGAGTGGCCGGGGGCGCTTTGCCGCCTCCGTTACTCATATCGCCCCAACTGTTGTCGTACCCTACAAAAGGCACCAACGTTTGTCTGATTTCAGGAGACTGAAAACTACATTCCGTTCTCAGAACTATGAGAATTGCAGGAATACTCTCCGGCCGCCCCAAGGATGATCCCGAGCACAGAATCACCCAGAATAGAGCAGCCGCGAACAAGCAAAATTTTAACCAAAGTAAGTAAAACTTCCGGACCAAAATTTAAATCTGATTGGACTGGTCAAAAATTTTTTCCGAATATTATTCATTACTGTCCTCTGAATAGCTCTTTTTATTTCTTCCCCGGAGCTTTGTTTCAGAACGATAATTATATAAGTTAAAATTTTATTAATATTTTCAAATAAACATCAACTGAGTAGACCAAAACAACAGACAAGTTCTTATAAAATCGTTAAAGAATGTCGAACATCAAAAGCGTACCTGGATAAGCCGTGCTAGCCTGTTGCGGAGCCCCATATCCAGCCTGCCGCGCTCCCGCCCACTGGGCCGCCGCTTGTCCGTAAGCAGCGGCCTGCGAGCTGCTGTCCGTGGCGTGGGTCTCATACCCGGTCGACTGTCCGTAATCATTGGCCTGCGCGGGATAACTAGCATACACGTTGGACTCTCCATAGTCACTGGATCCCTACCAAACCAAACACAAACCGTCAACAATCTATCCCAATTGCCTCCTTCACCGAGCACATCATAACGGTATTTCAGATAATGGTCACTGAATATCAGAGTACTAGGCGAGCGGCCCCGTGGTCCCCTATTTCTAGGCAGGGCACTCATCCCGACTCAGCAACCGACCGGTTATCATCATTAATCGCACCACAACATCACGCTGCGTAATTACCGGGTACGACGATCCGGGGGAAGACGCAGCTGCAGACTGTCCGTAGTAATAGCTGGATTCCGCCTGTGGGGCGGGAGGCGCCACCGGAGCGGGCGGTGCCGGGCGTGGCATCGCGGGTGCTCCGTAGGGACGTGGTCCGCCGGGAGGTGGTGCGCGAGGACGCATGTGGGGCGGAGGTGGTGGCCGCACTCCGGGAGGGGGTGGTCGCATGCCGGGACGCACTCCGGGCGGCGCGGCGCCGGGCACGCCTTCGTACTCCGATGGGATATAACCCTGAACAGAAGAAAAGCTCTGCTGTAGCGCTGTGTATATAAACAGAATTATTTCTAAATAATATTTATTGAGTTTTAAGCAAAAGCAGTGGTGATCGTGGCAGTACGGGCGACGGTGACTTACCGGATGGTTGGGATCCAAGAACTTCTTCAGTTCATTGAGAACGTGGGCGAAACGCGCTTGGGCTTCCACGGGATAAGCGTGGATCTCGATGAAGATGTGCAGATCCTCGTTGAGATGCGCATACTTCGGATCGCCGCTGTTGCGCATTTCTTCCTCCTATCAATTACCAGACAAACGCACCCATCAGCTGAACAGTCACATTCACAAAAACGGTCGACTTTAAACCCATGTTGCAACTTTCTGACCAGCAAATTCATGTCTCAAATTTAACAACTCGTACTGTTTTATTTTCTGCTTTCCTGAATACGCACAACATGCGACATATTTACTTATTAACAACTTAGATATCATCGTTGTCAACATGTTACAGCAGTAATTTCCATAGACCGAATTAAGAGAAGAAATCCGTAAATTGTTTTGATACAGTAAGTAGCTGTACTGGCAAAATCCGATGGTTACTGAACAGCCAGCAACAGCTTCTTACCTTGGCTTTGTCCCACATGGATCCGCGTCCGAAGATCATGATGCGGGTGCGCGTGTTGGCCTGCAGGGCTTTCAGAGTGGCGCCCTTCGGTCCCAGAAGGCGGCCAACAAAGTTGATCTACACAAGTGAAAAATTCAGTCACGAGAAGATGGCCGGATATCATTGAGAGACCACGGTACCTTAGGATGTTCTTTGAGGGGGATCAGCACTTTCTTGACAATCTTCACCGGCACATCACGGTGCACGATGATGTAGCCCTGCTCCGTGATTTCTCCAGCCCTCACACGAGCCAATTCTACAACATCATGAAAATGGTTAACTGTTGTATTATTTCTATAGAACTGAACCAAAGAACGTTTAGTGACAAATGCGGAAACCTTAAAAACCAGCTAACCCAAGTAAACAAATGGCTTCAAAGTACAAATACAAAAACTGTGTACAACATCATCACTGTAAAATCTTTTGTTTTTCATCCAAAAATATAACTGTTTATGCAAAGTGCCGAGTCGGCAGACTGATGCCGCTTTTCGAAGTTTTTTTCCTCGATATCATATTTGTCCACCACAGCCATTCGGAGACAATTTGCCAAGTGGCAGAAGCTAATTAGACAAGTATGTTTTAACTCAGAATTTTTTGTATTGTTTTATGCTACATTACACCACATTTTTAAACTGTTATAGCATTTTTTTTACGATTTTGATCAAATTTTAGCGGGTTGATATGCCGCAATTTAACAATTTTAACGCCATATTTTTCTAACATGCAGCATAAAGCTGCGCGCACTCACTTCCGGATGTTGGGTAAAATAATTCTACCACACTATGCCGACCATAAATAAGACTTATAAGTCTAAACAATAAGACCGAACTATGCTAATTATTCCAAAATTATCAAATGCAGCAGTACTCCGTATCAAAAAACTAACGACAGCAAAAGGACAGCCGATCGATTGTAATACGGCGTTTCCGGCCATTTCTCTGTTCAAAATTCACCAACTTACAAAATCGGCTCTACTCGCGATTTGTCAAGGCCAAAAATGAAGTTCTAGATGGTGAACTACGGTTAATAGTCGCATTTTGCATACCTCGATCGGCCAGCGCCCGCACCAAATGGAAGCCGTCGCCGAGGCCCTTGATTTCCTGCTCCACCTGACGCAGATAGTCCTCGGTTTCGGGTGGCAGCGCCACAGCGGCCGTGTATTTGACGGGCGACCCACCGTCACCCGCTCCGTTCATCGCGTCCTCCTGCTTGATCTCCATCTCCATTTGGGTTAAGGGGTGATTACTAACTAACAGTCAAGCATCAACGGGAAAACGGGAGACCGAACACCATCCACTCACAACAAGGATCAACCGAGACCGTCAACAATCGAACGATGCCCAGAAAAGTGCTGGCTGATAATCGCTATTTCCGCGTCTAACTGTCACACTGCTGATAAATAGCCTGGCTTTAGTAGTTTAGAATTTCATGTGTTATAAGATTTTTAGAACTCCAAAGGGTTTTTCAGTCATGGACCTACGATAAAAAATAACTGCTAACTAACAAGCCAGAAAATGCCGAACTTGGAAAATGAAAAATCAAAGAAGTCACCGTGCACAAGCCAGCAACCATGGCGGTCATGATTCGCCTTGGGCTGGAGTGAATCGAACGAGTCACAGCCCATTGGCCAATAGCAATTAAGCAAGGGTATTCGAGGCACTTCTATTCGTGCATTTTTTTATCTCAGGCAAATCACAAGCGGCATGGCGAGGATGTAAATCTGTTGGCCGGTTGACCTATTTATCCTATTCTTGCCGAATTGCTAACCTCTTCTGAACTTGCAAGAATTATTTCCGGGAACAGCAGTGCGGCCGAATAAAACTACAGCATGTTTTAAATTTTTTAATTTAGACGGTTTATTTTGTTTTGTGCTGGATGATTTTTTAGTGATATGTTGGTTATTGCCTGTTGATTGGTACTGCGGTTTCAATAACACAAAAAAAGCAAAATAAAACCGAAATAAAGGGTTCATAATTTTAAAAAATTATTCTCAATGGTAAATAAGGGTTTCTAAATTAATATTTGTCCACACTCCACATCAATGTCAATAAGAAATACTAAAATCAACCGAACAGGGAAGCTATTCGAATGGATCTCATAACACAAAAATATTCTTACAATGGTCCACTTCCAGAAAAGTGAGCTGTGTCATTGTGTCAGTCGTTAAATAATGTTAATCAATCAATTTTCTTTGTTTGGAACACCTACTCTTACGTTTTGAAAGTTTCTTGGATTCACATGTATCTACCAACTACAGAAATTTTTTAGATGATTTTATAAAACGTTTTCGAGCAAATTCTATAACGGAAGCGAAACGTATCGGCCTCCAAATTTTATTCATAATCGCATGTTACAACGTACAAGCCAAAATAGCCACAGTCCATTCAGTAACATCAGTCCTCATTTTCCTGTGCAACAGAATTCAAAACCCATCGTTCTCTCCGCAAAAACAAATATCGACCATCATTATCCCGCATCTCCAGCATCCGAGAGAAAAAACTTGCAAACCCCCGAAAAAAACATTTGATACCGTTTGTAAACAACACATTATTAGCAACATTAGGCATTAATTATAAAGCGAGAGGAAGAAAAACAAGCGCCAAATTTATATTACTACTCGCCACGCCGCCGCGCGTCCCACCACAACGGTTATCAGTGTAAAAAAAGAAACCACAGAAAAGAAAAAAAAACCAACGAGCTCCCCAAATGGTTCACTATGCGCCCCCCAAACTGAAGTACAACACCACAATTATCCAAAGAGTGAGTGTGGATGCCAGACCCGTTCGCCAGTAGATCAGGCGTGCTGGGTCGTGGTCTGTCCGGCATACCAGTTGCGCTTGGTATGATCATCTCCGCGCATCTTCTTCGTACTGGACACCCCGCTGGTGGCCGGGGTGCGGTGGGCGGCGGGGATATGTACGGCGGTGTGGTGGTGGTGGTGATGATGGTGGCCGTGGTGGTAGGGATTGCTGCTGGTGGTGGCCGGGCGGTGGGGGTCGGTGTGAGCGGCGCCGTTGCTGTGGGATGACGCGCCGGCTGAGGATGCCGTGCGGCTGACGTGCCGGTTGGACGAGGATGATGAATCTTTCGTGTGGGCCACGGGCGGCGCAGTGGCTACCGATGCCGTCCTAGTCGAACAACACAAAACCGTATCGTATACACTTCTACAGAGAAAACTGTAGAACACCGGCTTCTGCTCGATGCGCCTCAATCCAATTCAATGCTTTCACAACAACGAACATCATGCTGTACTCAATTAACTTTCCATAGATTTTTTATCCTGTGCTCGGAGGTATTTCAAAAATGATTTCAGATCACGGCGTTGTTATTTCGGATTGATTGATTGGAAACGTTAACCAATACGTTATCATAAAACTCGAGTAATTTTATAATAAACTTTCTACTTTATGCTGCTGTATTTCAATAAAAATTTCCTAAGCTGATGTTAAACTTACGGCTGATGTGGCAGCGCTTGCTGGATACCGTTAACCGATTTGGACTTCAAATTCCCATCTTCATACACGTGCACCGTCTCTACTCCATTCTCCAAAACCCTAAGAAAACGCACATATGTCTTACACACTCAAAGTACTACAAAATCTGCATAAGGAATTTCTTCTGGCCGCATTCACAATAACATCCGTCCACCGTATGCAACGTACTTTTTCGTGGAGATTTTCTTGCCGTTGACCACCTTGGTGGTGGTGGTGATGCGACGGATGGCCGGTGTATCATGGGCGAACGTCTCGAAGTTGGTGGTGGAGGCCGTAAAGGCTGAGAAGCCGTGATTATGATGATGGTCTAGCATATGATCGGTACTGAATGCATGGCGCAGCATGGGACTGATGCCGAAGCCGAAGGAGAACACCGGTGGTGGGAAGCCGAAAAATGCGTTACGATAGCGATCCTGACGCAGATCTGCCAAATATACAGCCTCCTCATTTTCATTCGACAATAATAGTCAAAGATAAACATTCAACTCAATGAGAACAAAAAGAAATTCGCGAATCTTGAAAATCAAATCAACGTTAAAAACGGTAAAAAATACATAAGATAAAACTGATAAAAGGAAATATTTCCAAAAACTAAAGGGCAAAAACGGTATAATTACAGAAAAACCTTTTGTTGCGATCAAAGACTATTGACTAAGTACCAAAGTGTGAACGTAAATATCGAAATTATTAAACCGCAAAACTTGAAAGCAAGGTTACGAAAGAAATCAAAGCAAACACAACTATGAAACAAAAATAAACAATAAAAACGGTTGTAACAATAAATCTACCCAACACTTTGTAGACAAGATGCACTCAAACAAATTATGACAATCTCCATAAAACCTTTTCCAGATGACAGAAGAGAGCGCCATAAACACCCGGGCACTCAATAATAACGAGCTCAATACGGCTGCACAATAGGCTCGTTATAGGACACAATCCCGATTTGCCGTGCGTTGGCCTCGGCCGTGTAACGTCATTATTACCTGAAAATGGGTCGCCACCAAAGAACTCGCGGAACAGATCAAACGGATCCCGGAAAGTGAAGCCAAAGGAAGCGAAGGGATCATCGAACTTATCATCGTCGAAGGCGGTAAATCCGAACCCGAAGGGATCGGTCGGCCGGTGATGGCGATGTCGGGTGGAGCCGCCACGACGCGACTGTCCCGCAGCATGCCCGGCTAGACCCTCGTGGCCATGTGTATCGTAAATTCCGCGCTTTTTCGCTACAAACACACAAATTCCCATAAATTATCACTATTTTTGTACGGTCTGCACTGTGCAGTAAGTTCCCATAACAGTACTGTACATGAGTAGCAGCAAACACAGTAAACTTTAATCCAATCAGTGAAGAATCGTAGTACAATGGCAACAACGACAGTTAATGTCAAACCTCTTTCAGCTGTGAACCTGATATAACTATAATTCGCAAAAAAATTCGCATGTTCACAAAACAGTATCTCCACTAACTAGTTTTTACGATGCAGCAGCTGCATGACAGCGGTTTTCGGTTTTTACAATTCGGGTTAAAAACAAGCCCATTAGAAATCGATAATCCCAGGAAGGTCTGATCTGTGGGATCATGATCCCGGCTGAGGGCACCACGTACCCAGCCCAAGTGATCCCAATCTTCCACTGGCCTACTTTACGCCTAATTGAAAACTTGACATATCAAGTGGCCGCTACGAATATAACCGCTCTAGTATCCTCTAATACAAAGAGCACTCTAATTTCAACGTGGCGTTAACATCCAACCCACGCCAAAAAGTAGGAAAATATTTTGAAATACCCAAGGAAAAAGTTTATGTCACATTCTACAGAATCTTCGAAAACGAAAAAGTAATTTTCAAAAAGACGTAACCTTTACAAACCGAAAATCAAAACTACAAGAGAAATATCTCTAGTATAAGAAATTATTATCATGAGAAATTACGATGATGTAAAAACATTTATCCGATTATCAGAGTGAGATAAGCTTAGACCAACAAACTTTGTTTAAAAAATCGGGCAAGTAAATTTTTTTCTTCACTAGACGCTGGCATATGACAAAGTCGAAAAGAATCACCCCGGAAACTCATTCCATCACATGCAGGAAAAAAAACAGTAACGACAACATTTCGCCGAGAAATCACGTACTGTTGACATCACACGGCATCACATCGTCAGCGAACAAGACTCACCATCTGACAGCACTTCATAGGCCTGTGAGATCTGCTTGAACTTGCGTTCGGCCTCATCCTTCTGCTCGGGATTCTTGTCGGGATGCCAGCGCAGCGCTAAACGCCGGTATCTGCAACACACAACATACACACATCAAGTCACCGCTTGACACAGCACGATACAGAAAATAACTCTGACGCTAGGATAATTATAAGCCATCGCGGCTAAATTTATAAATACGCTGGCTGATGCCCACCCCAAACTATGTAGTACACACGGTCATTGCTGTGTGGGCACAACCAGGACGACACCCAGAAAGAAATTCAATCATAACCGCCGCAAGATGAAAGAGAGATGAGAGAGCGAATTTAACACTTTCTCATTACGACTTTATGATTACGGCCATTTCGCACATAATGTGTCTATTTTTGTCAAACCAATTTACCGTCACCTGAATTCTTTTACCCCTTTTCTGCATCATGTCTAGTCAAAATATTATCTAAAAATACAAATTAACAATCTAGTTTCCCGAAATACAATTCTATAAAGTTAACCGAAAGTGACAATTCGGTATTTTTGGTCGGTGAATTTTCTGTACGTTTAATTTTAAACTGTAATTTCCAAAAACAAAGAAAATTACGTATTATTTATTTAGAATTTCCGCTGTTAAAAATGCAGCAACCACATTTCCCACTGATTTCCATTCTTTACAGGACGTGACGCAACCCGAGCGCAACGTCAACATTTACAACACACACACACACAACATATGAGCTACGCATTACATGCCATCGACACAAAACCGACGACGACGGCGCGTCTCCTTTCGCCAGGAAAACTGCTATGCTTAGCATCGGACGCGAACATAGAGTGTAAGCATGCGGTTAGCCGGCGGGTTTTCGCTCTATTCATCAGCGAGTTTTGTCTTTTACGTAACCGGAATACATAAAGATCAATAATATTCCGTGCATACAAAACACACCACCCAACCTGCGCCTTTTCGACTGACCAAATTATAGGGCTCAACGAGAGAGAAACTCTGCCTCGACGATCTCGCGGATAATCAATAAGCTCACACAACGCACAAACAGCTATTTTCTGCCACGAAAATGCTTCACCTCGATGATCTATCGATTAATTTGTTGATCCGAAAATACTCGTAAAAATGTAAAATCATTATCAGTAAAACGTTAGGAGCGTGCAGAATATCTTCCAAGGAAAATCACACGCTTTCAACCAAGCCCGTCGTACAAACAAAGAAAAACTCTTAAATAATATGAAACATTTTTTCATTAATTTGGATGCAATAAAAAAATGAATTCCCGTTAAAAAAGTACGAATATCAATAACTATGTAATACCAACAGAATTAATTATTTGGACATGGAATCAGCATCCACTACACTACGTCTTCAATAACAACTACGGCGTTCCGGGACAAATTGCGTAGTCGCCTAATCAGAGCGTCCGAAACCAGAACGAATAATAAATAAAAACCGATGAGAGTAAAACTAATTCCATGAAAATTACAAATTAACACCGGAAAAACGAGGACGCTTGCAGAGCGTTACGCGAGCCGGTAGAACAACGAAATTTCTTCTGTAATAGCGAACCATGCGCTTTAAGTACGATTAAAAATCGATCGCTAATCAAAATTTAAAGAAATCAACGTCTTCACAAGTCAACTGAGCAATACAGTCGCCCGCTGATTCACGCTAATTCCACAACAATGATCCCACTGATTCACCTTGCAGCCTAACAACACGGCGCACCCCCGTGTGCCCTGGATCCCTGGACGGTAAACAAAGGGGCCCGACTGATTCACTCTCGTCCCGGGGACCCGCACACCAAGAGCTTCTCCTTGACCTGGACGATTGTAGGTTACTAGAGCGTCTGAATCACAACCTGCACTGCGCACTGCCGCCGTGCATTTTTCATTTTTCCGCTCCGACCTAGGCCGGTCATCTCCGGGCCACTCATACGAAGGCTATGCAACAAAGAATGTCCGCTGCTGTGCGCATCATCTTTCACGCTGCCCCATACAATACTAATACATGCAATACGGTGCTCTGGCAAATAATCAGAGCAAAGAATGCCTTTATCAGTGGCAAATATTTGCCCGACAATATTGAACTTCCTATTTGAAGGCCGCTGATTCGATACCGCTTGGTGTCACCTGTATCGAATGTGTGGGAAATTAAAAATTCCATGAGCTAGTGGCAAAAAATATGCGGTAAAACAATGCAAGAAACAATTGCATAAGCGACAATTACGAAACCAGCACTACAAACATCGCGCAGCAAAACATCGTCAGCTACTCCAAAGTCTCGCATGATGACAAGTTTCTTATTTCCAGAGTAAAAACACTGAAATGTGAACTTATTTTTGAACAGAAATTTCGGCAATAATACTAATTTAGCAAAGTCAAAAAGTCTCGAATAGAAAATCAATTTTTTAAAAAAGTAGTCCAAAATAGAAAGTGAAGCTAGAAAATCATAGACTTGGGAAGCAACGACAATCCGCAGTTTTCAAACGATAATTATCGAGCAAAACAACCTATAAAACCCGCCAAACAGCATCCATTTCGTCCAGTGAAAACTGAAAACATGTCAGCCATCTGCTGTATATTTCCCGATAAAATTGCGCGACTCCGATGGCGAATGGATACATTAACCCATAACAGCACGAGGCGATCACAAGCCATAAATTCCGATTAATAACTCTCACTCCATGCCAACCTTATTTCACAACCGCGCCGTAACGCAATTCAAAAAATTTACAGCACACTGGAAAAACTAATTTTAATCAAAAAGGTCCAGAAAATTTTTTTGAAAATATTCTAAATATTATTTTCTTTACACCAGAAGCAAGTTCTTAGGAAACGAATACCATACAACATAGTGAATGAGACATCACTTACGCTTTTTTGATCTCCGAATCCGACGCCGTCCGTGTAATCTCCAGAATCTCGTAGAAATCGTGCATTGTAGTTTGTACCCAACAGGTCAGGACAGTCCAGTTAAGAAATCCGTGGAGAGAAACAAACGCACCAAACAGTGGGTCCCCTTTATTTATTCCCCGTCAGTCTACACAAGAGGAGAAAGAGAGAGTAAAGCGCGATGCTGCTGCATTAGCCTCTCGTCAAAATCACTCATACACACTGCATGCCTATAACTGGCCAACACGACCGACAGATAAATATTACTGCAGTCAATGGGGAGACATACGTGCATACAACACAACAGCCCAGAGAGAAAAGAAAGCTATTTACAGACTCAACCGGTTCGGCTGCGGCAAACCTGATTCACATTGGCATCAGTACTAATCCAGCTCGTGTATCGTACAGATACAAATTTGGCGTAATAAGTAAACCTGACTACAAAATCGTAGACTATGGGCAGGTGGCCAATTCGCGAGGTTTTCTATCTTCGCAGAACAAAAAGAAAAAAGATACGCCAAAATTTTAAAGAACACCAAGCAAACTAAATCAAAACAAATTTTCTTAAAACATTTTTTATACAAAAAATAATAAATGCACGAAAAATATGGCGCACTGCTAAACGATTCACATTAAACACATCACGCAAAATTTGCAATTTTTAGCTACCTAAGTACAGTTTAAATGCCCCACTTTAAATTTACAAAAATAATAAGGATTTTAATTTTATTCATAACGGTAAAATAATGATGGCTGAGATTAAAAATGATCTAACTGACTAAAACATAAAAAAACCTGTTATAACAAAATGGAAAAGCCATGTGCAATTCGATTATTCGAGTGCGCATTGCACAGGTGTACAATTAACGCAGTCAAAATTTTACCAAACGTTCCATCACCGCGCGTTTGCTGATGTTATGGAATACCGAATAGCAATGTTAATAATTCTTAACGATTATTTACCCAGCTGCGATTCGTCGGGGGCAACCCGTCATACAACTATGATATATCTCCGTGCTAAATGACGCTATCATTCGCACTGCAACCTTGATAAGCCGCACCAATTTGCAGTCCAATTAATAAATAATCCAGCAGCACGTGCTGTCTTCGTACGCGCAGACGGCGGCATTCACTGGAAATTAATATTAACGGAACTCCGGCGCAATCAAACAGACTTCGTTAATAAAACAACCCACCCGCGCACAGAGAAATACGTTCAGGAAATCCCTAAAATTAGTTCCCAGCAAAAACGTAAATAGAGTAGTACGCACTTAACCAGCAGCCACAACGATGATGTCCGAGGATATCAAACACGGAAAATATGTAGTAACTAGTACAAAAAACCTCTTCTAAGCCGTAACAGTGTTACCGTGGCAGCCAAATAAAATTATTCACAAATTTTACTTCGAAAAGCTGGAAGCCTGCAACTTTTACTTAGCACATAACGTTATCATTTAGTTGGCCATAATCTGATTAATGCAACACTTATTTTGCTGGTGATACCACTTAATTTATATTAATTCTGAATCTAATCAGCTGATCATTGTTAATAACGAAAACGAACACTAAGGCAGCATTTTAAACGTCTAAAATTTATTTTAATCAGACTTGCATAAGGAAAAGAAATAAGAAAACCTAAACCTCAATGAAAGAAAAACCGTTAAACACAATTCAGAAATGAGTATCAAAATTCGGAGCGAAGATACTGTATTACAAAACAAAATATTGTGACAGTATCTATTATTGAACATGATATGACACATCGTCAAACACGCGCAATTATCAAGTTTATGTTCTGAAAACAATCAGACCACAACATTTCGCCGTAAGTTTTCACCATCGCCACATTGCTACAGATCTATAACGTGGTCGCAACGCGCTTCAACATACGTAGCACCGGCATGGAAATTCGCCATACAACCCGGCACTCACCGAAATATCGGAAATAATTCCTCCCGCGAGGGAACACCAAGGGGACCATCCAATCCGATTAATTCTCAACCAAACACACCACCCCGAAACAACCTCCCAGAAAGATATTCTTCAGATTATCGCCCACGGCGGATTAAACCCGGAAAAAAGTTGAGAAAAAATCCCCCGTATTCTCTTCACACGCGGCTACCATCCCGCACACAACCAGTAAAAACGGGAGAGAAAAGCCGCTCTCCCAACACACAACCACCCGCCCGACACTCCTTCAGCACGCAAGGGATAATCTTAGACAGGATTATTGATCGATGGGACGCTGTCCGTGGAGACAACGATAAAAACTCTTCAAACAAATAGCGCCGCAGCCAACACACAACACCGCCCGAGTCACGAGAACGCCATCACAGTTTTCCCTGACGCAACACCATGCAAACCACCCATTCCCGGCTGTGCGTGAACGCTAAGTAGCAGCACTTATTTGACGTCTTATGCATGAATAAATGTTGCTGCTGCTGCTCAAAGCCGGCCACTATCATCATCCGTCAGCTTCTCATAATCAACCCAAGACCAGACAACCAGACAGGGCTCCACAGAAGAAAAAACATACAAATTAATGCACAAAAGCTCTCGACACACTCGTTTCCTATTGTAATCAATGCATACTTACACATTGCGTAGTAAGGCAAACATGTGCCGACAGAGCTTATACAACATCGCGAAAGACCAGTTACCGCAAAAGAAACAAAATAAAATTGTAAACAAACTATAATTTCCGGTTCTGAAATATTTTTAAGAAAGGTTCAACATAAATCCTGAAATTATTATGGCTATAATTAATTTACCACAAAATTATCTACCAGAACGAGAGGAGAAAAGATAAAACAACAACAAAATATATATTCAACGAAATACAAAATAAGCGCCCAAACCAACGGTTAACCATACGTAAAACACACCATGACATAGTAAAGAAAGAAAGCGTACTCTGTACTCGTACGAAATTTTATAATAATTCTAATTACTCTGAGCCATTTTTCTTTTTGCATTTTGTAATAATCAATTCAAGTGCAGAATTCCGGTTTGCCCGTACACTACACCAGCCTACAGCTTAACCTTGCTGCCTGACGTCCGCCAGCACTTGTAATCACTGTTTTCTGCGATCAATATATGTGGATTTTAGCTCTGAATCATCAAATTTCATCTCATTTAATTTACCATTTCCACAACAGATTAACATGGTAACCGGTTCGAAGATATCTTTATCCAAGAGGCAAAACAGATTATCATGTCTACTGCAGCACTTATGTAATTCAGGGGAAATCAATTGAGAATTTTACAAAGAGCTGTATTCTGTAGCAGGCTTGAACAGTGTTTTGATAAGATGCCAGAATATCTTTAGTGACTCATATTATTTATTCCTCCATCGTCGTAAAAAAATCGCGTAAATAAAAATACAAACAAAACTACAAAAATTTGGGAAAATAACTGAAGCACTCCAAAAAAGCTTCATCAACAGATAAATTAACAATACCAACGAAAATATCAAAATTCGCAATGGAGCAACACTTGAAAACTGACAAAAACCAGCCAAAATCGATGCTAATTTTTTCCAGCAGCGGCCTGTAATTTTTTATGCATGTCTGTAATTTTCCGGCTGCCGGCGGAATTTAAAATGCAAATTCTTTCACGTGCGGAGACGTCGGTTATCAAGCCCAACATCGAACCATAATGGACACATTTGTATCGCTCTCAACCTGTCCGATAAGTAAACAGTTTTTTAGGCCAATGCGCGTCTTAACCGCCAGCTTCGCCGTCTGTCCTTTCGCATCACAAACATTTCCTCTCTCTCATAATTGAACGAACAATTTCTCAACATTCATCCTCATGACTTTTACGAGGCTGATCGAAAAACCCGCAGCTGACGTTTTTTCGACCACCTTGCTACAACATGCGCTCAGGCGCTGCACCACTCGGCGGAAATGGCATTTTTTCCTCACCGATCATCTCTGTGTCTCAAGTCGTCAACCTGCTGCATTGGCAGTAAAAATGCCCACGTCTTGCAACTTCGGCTAGTGTTTTCTGACTTTTCCTCCATGTCTACCTGGTGAAGGCACTCTTGCGGAAGAACAGACAAGCAAAACGGCTACTGATTCGTCACACACGCAAACCATACGCGAACCTCATCAAATATTCTGTAATTACAATTTCAACGAAATCGGGAACTACTCAAGCAAACAGAAACACCCCAAAACGGTTCATTAATTCACTGCGAATTATTTCCTTTATCTAATATTTTGTTTTCAACCAGTTACATTTTTAAAACTATTTTCAAAAGAATTCGCTGACAAAGTCCGACTTTTTAGTTAGGCTTGCGGAACGAAAATATTTAATCTGCAACTGCGAAGTGGAAATAAAAATAACCGATGCCGGTGTGAATTATGTACGATTTACGAATATTTTATTTAGGATTTTTTAGACAAGCAATTTCAGTCCAATCAAAATTGTTTCCCAAAAAAAATTTACTTTGTATTAAAATGAATTTAAGAAAAAAATGTATAACAAGAAGCTGGTAAAATCGTAACCCTAATTACGTTTTAATTCCTTGGCATAATGTCTTCCGGCTGGTTCCGGTTCTGAAGAGAGAACCCATCTCTCACGAAATCACAGCCGATCCTTGTCAGCGTCCATAAAAGCGACAATCTAATGGATAAGCGCTATAAAAAATCCATTTAGCCCACGCGACATGACCACCGCACCCAGATTGTCCCGCGCAGTGTTCCCCCAGAAAACAAATTACAGCGCAGGAATATACATATATGTTTCGGCTTGATTGCGCCGGCAAGTCGTTTACTGCCGGCCGACCACGACGTGGACAATCGATCAGCGGAGGACGAGGGGAAATCAATGTTTTCTCATCATCCCCAACCCCCACCGACTGAAAATAGCACAACGGGAGAAAAGTGCGGTAAATGTCACCTGCTACGCAATGCCAGCAGTGTATGCTGACTGCTGCGCTGAATGGAAAATCAACAAAATAATTATGGAGAAATGGCTAATCCCATTTCACAAGAAAGGAACACTGAGCGATCGAATGTCAGGGGAGTTTTATTCTCTAATCGTTATGGGATTGGCTACAATTTCTTACCGACAGATCCCTACAGAATAAAAGAATCTGCTATCTAATCAGACTAATTATAATATTATGAGAAATGGAAAATGCATTAACATGGAAAAATCTGTTAAACAAATTGTGTTTGAAAATTAAAAAATAACTCGTATACTTTTCTTATATATTTTATCAAAGACACCGGGCCCACGGACCACAGCCATAATTATAATTGGCTGCATAAAATAAAAAAATGTATGAATTTTCACTGGTCACCATTATTCATTATGACGCAAAAAATGTGATACGTGCCCGACAACTGCTCACAATTTCTGCGAAAAATTAGCGAAAAAGCACAGTTTCAGCACTTCTGTAAAAACTGCCTCACGTATCGAACCATCCACTTGAATGAGCGTTTTGGAAAACGTCCAAAACCGAAACACTCCAGAAAATTGCCGCAGCCTTCACGCAATCATTTTTCGAGTACTTCGTACCAAAAATCACGAAATCTTAATCCATAAAAAATCTTACAGCATTTAAATTATTCTAAAAAATTTAAAAAATATTTTAAAATTACTTTGAAAAAAAGGACAAACATATAGTCACAAATACATTGAGTACGCTTCACAGAGTTTCACTTACCGTGATTCTGCTTTCCGCAACGATGGCGACGTTGAAGACAGTCGACAAAGAGAGAGATCCGCAATTTTCACCCTGTCATAATAAAAACCAATGCAACTCGTTCATACGGATAAATTAGCCCTGTACAATAAGCAGATGATAGTGATCACTGATTTGCGACCTGATTCGGCTATTTCTGCACACTGAACAATCGCCGAAAAGCACAACAAGGTCTTTTTATCGAGCAGCTGTAAGTTTCCGTGATTAGCACTTCACCTGCTTCATCAGACCGTAGAGAAAACAGTTGTCATCTGGCCATACATACCGTTTACACATGAGTAATAATAAATCTACACAACCTTCCCTTCATCTTTTATCACCCAGTTTGGCAGCTAATAATCTGAGTCAAATCAAGAAATTATTTGTTTGGTTTATCGGATATTTACACAAAATTCTCGGGGCAAAGTGCCGTCGAACCCGCGCATGTGGCGTAGCGCAGCGAAGGCTGTCGCCCTCCATTAACTCAATGTAGTCAAAAACAACAAAAGTGCTATCGTGATAGCCTCGCAACGCTATATTTACTGCACTGTACGCACGTTCGTCATGAGTACAGGTTGCTCTTCCAGCCTTTAGTTTACTGTACCAAATATTGCACGTACCTTGGAAATATGGATTATGAAACACTGAAAGAATGCAGCTCCAAAATTTCCCGGTATTTACAGGAAGGGCAATGCCATCGTTGGCGGCGTGAGCGAAAGCTCCAAATCTGAAACTGCGGTGTTTCGGAAACAGAAAAATCCAAAAGGCAAAATTGCAACTGTGCAGGCCTGTCATACTACGCTCATTCGGCCAGCAATCTGTAGTACGAGTATGCGGGCCAGCTCGGTTTAGCCAATGTGTGTGCAAAGGTGAGTGCGGCTGACCGCAGCAGTAACGCCCCGTACTGACTAACCTTATGGAAATTTCCTCCACCACTTTAATGGGATTGGAATCGGAAGTGTCCGGTAATCATTGCTTTTTCAGTAGCAACAAATCATTTCCGGTTTGCTGCACATGCATCGGAATCGCCGAAGATCAGGCAGGACCAGTTGTGCTGTGATTTCAAGAACTTGTACTTAAAAATTTGCTAGAAAAACCGAAAGAAACCAGTATTTTGTACGACAAGAAGTACCGAATCAGTCTGATCATAAGAATTTCGCTGGCTTGTAGTTTTTCTGCATATTGGAAACGTAAACGTCGCAAACGTAAACGCAAACAAATGAACGGTATAAAACAATACAAAGTGCTGAAGATGTTTCTATTGCACACTTGACTAATAAAATTACCTTAAAACGGCTACTAATAAACATAAAAGCTTCTACATCAATTTTCGCAGACGGTTGTAAACTGATCGTGGATTCGTGTCGGCGTTACTGATTAAATTCCCATAACAGACTTTTGATCCTTTTGATCACTTCATTTTCCCGAGAAATTCGTCTGGTTATGATTTGCATGAAAACTGCCTGAAACACTCAGAAATTCAATGGAGTCTTATCTATCAATGACAAAACATTAAAAACTCCAATTGTTTGAAAAACCGGCATCAACAAACAAAACCAGAACAAAAACCGGCTGACAAGCGCAGAAATCGTTATGCCAGTGCCGTCTCGCGTTCCAGCTGCGGTCTAATATCCCGCATCAAATCTTTGTAGCTCTGCTTAGCATCCAACTCCAAATCCGCATGATAATCAATTAAGTCCCGCACCCTCTCCTTCACCACATCCACATTGGTGTGCTTCAGTCCGGACATGGGAATGACATCTTCGAAAGTGATCAGATGGCTGGGCCGAATTGATTCCGGCATACCGGAGCAGATCTCTGCCCAAGAAAGCAACAGCATAACAGATTCGATCGAATGTCTGTAAAACGGTATCTTACCTGCATAGTTCTTGACCATATCAGTAAATTCATCACACTTTTTCTGAGCTCCTTCCTTGTCCATTTTGTTGATGGCTAGTAAAGCTGGTTTATCCGTTAACGATTCTTTATACAATTCCAACTCCTTCAAGTTCAAAACACTTGCTTAAATGTAGATATCTTTCAAAATATCTTTTAAAATATCTTTCCAAAACAATTTAATTTTTCGAAAAAAATATCCGCACTTGGGTTTTTCGTCGTACTTATTAACAATAATGTCGCAACAATTACATGATGTTCCACACTCCAACTTCCACAGAATTTTTTTCGAGATGATTAACATTTCCAAACAGCACTGTAATTTTTGTACTTACTTTGTTTAAAAGGACCAAAGTTTCAAATGCCGTGCGATAAGGATATTCTGGCCCCAGCTGGAAGCCTTCCACATCGATCACAAACAACAACAACCTCGTGCGCTCCACGTGCCGCAGAAACCGGAAACCCAGACCGACATTCTTGTGAGCGCCTTCTATGAGCCCAGGTAGATCGGCCATCGTGATCTGAAAACAGCAAATGCTTCAGAGTTCTGACGCACTGCAAACGCGGAGATGGCAGATTCTGCACATTAAAAAATCCTCTCAATTTCAGCTATCACGCAAGCTGTCGACAATCAGTTAAATCCGAGCTGACAATAAAAGTAAGTAACAATAAAGTCATTAACAGTAGTTAAAAGTAAGTAACGATAAAGTAATTGCCGAAAACAAGTGCATTAAAGGATTATAAATTAAAGTGTGCACCATACCTGTCTCCGATCGTCATATTCTAATATTCCCAGTTCGGGACGAATTGTCGTAACTAGAAAGTAAAGGCAAATTCATCAAAAACTTTAACAACATGAGATGCAGCATACAGATATTAGATTCGTATAAGCACGAGCAAAAGCTAAATATGTATGCGTAAACCCCATAATTATTATTTAATCTGCCGTTGAAACTGTTTTAAGTTATCCGAAACTGAAGAATCATGGAACTTACAGGGGAAGGCGGCTATTCGCGGTTTGGCTCTGGATATGGAGGCCAGCAGTGTGGATTTGCCGGCGTTGGGGAATCCCACCAGGCCGATATCGGCCAGAATCTTCAGATCCATCCGTATAAAGCGTGCCTGGCCTTTCTGCGGTAGAAACTGATTCTCCGGGTTGCCTCCCGCGCCCCCCTGGCCAGCACAACCCTATCGTTAACCGTATTGATTTCTCCCAAAACTTCTTTTGTTGCATCATCCACTATCGTCACGCCCAGCGGAACTTGGAGCGTTACATCCGCACCGGTTTTTCCCTGGATCGCCAGTTTGCTGCAAAATGTTTCAACGTGTTCTACCAGAAAATAACCCAGAATTTGTTAGAAAAACCCGAACAACAGGAAAGTATTTCTCACTTAATAAAATTTTAAAAGTCGCACTCGTACAATTTAACACATACTCGTACTCGTATCGTATGCAAAATCTGCAAAGAAAATCATCCAAAACAAAACTATCCAAAATTTATTTTGTAGTGAAACTTCAAAACGAATAAAATATTCTCCCGGATTTAGTTTTTTAACGAAACCTTAAACTCCGTAAACGATGAATACACGTAAATAATTCTCTCATATTTATTTATTTTTTAGTGAAACTTCCAAATCTGCAAAAGGGTACAAAAGTTTCCCAAATTTTCAGCAGAAATGCCCAACCGCAGAAGAAGTTATAATTATGAAACACCACATCTGACGGAACTCACGCACTGGGTCCACCGGGCTGTCCTTCCCAGCGCTGACTGGGATTGGCTTTATACAGCTGCTTGAGACTCTGCGATACTCGGACCTTCTCCGCTTCGGCCACCACATCGCCTCCTTTGCCGCCGACGCCTCCGTACCGCGCCATCCCCACACCCCCCGTACCGCCCTTACAGAAGACGCGCAAGGAATCGATGAACTTCTTGCCGCGGAACTACAGCGACAAACAGACGGACACTTTGCACCTGCATGGTGTTGAACGAGGAAAATATACGGAGAACTCACAGTGGTACGCTGATCAAACAGAACTCTTGTCGTCCGCATTCTGTTGGCAGCATCAAGGCAGACGATCAACAATCATCCAGGATCGATAGCAGATTACTCCAGGATAACAGTGGATTGTAGATATTGTCGTTGCTAGTGTCAAGACTCAAATGCGTTATGATATTCCACCAAGGAAACGAATGAAAGCATGAAACAAAAGTTACAAAACGATGGTCGACACTTCAGTTACACTGCCACGCAGGAAACTCGATGAAACTTAAGCCGCCAACCAGACTACAATTTGGATAGAAACTGTAGTGTGAAATCTCAATAAAATGATACACTGTAATTTGTAACATCGTTTAACATTCAGATTTAACACTATTTTAACAGCTTCGAAAATATCTCAAGAAGTCTGCTAGTAAGTAAGTACCGTTCGCACTTTTCATGTCAAAAAGAATGCGTAGCGAGCAGAGGTTACTGCGCAAGGTAAGAAATATAAGCCAGACCTATTGCGTTCGTCATTTCCTTTGGTCTAGCCTTTGATTTTTTGTACGAATAAACTTTATTCACGAATCTAATAATTAAAATTAATATTTAATAAGCCTGGGTTTTTTAACCCAATTATTACATTTACAACAATTTTAGAATTGTGGGCAGCAAATATATAATGTTTTGTATTTCACGACCGGTAAATCTTCGACACGCCCCGCCTTCGTTCTTCTCTTGCGACATCACAGTGATCACACATCCAGGTGATCAAACTTTACAGCACGGCTACTTCTGATTTTGATTTTGAACTAACCATGGTAAATTTCTTAAACCGTAGAACTAAAAACTGTAAAAAAACTGTTTATCGTGAATTACCGTGGATCGGAACAGACAATCCGTCTAATTGCCAGTTGTTTAGCTGTGTGCGAATTGCGATGCGTTCTGAATGAGAAGCATTTCTTAAAATTCCGTTTCCTTCGCCATGCCGAAAAATCTCCGCCGTTTCGCGGGCCGTAATCCGAAGATATCCCATGTCGAAGATGCGATGCACACTGCGGACGATAGCGATCGCGAGACCGAACAGGATGCCCCACGCATCGCAGCGCCTCGACAAATGTCCAGGAAACAGCAGCGTAAAGTCGATCGTAAAATGAAGAAGGCCAAGAAGAATGCGTGGTATACGCACCAAACGGTAAAATTTTGAAAATCGCTGTTGATGGACGACTGGGTTCCTTACATTGCGTTCCTGCATCGAAAAATTGTTTTTGTTTTCGACAGGCGGATGAGCCCGTACCAAAGAAACAGCAGCGAAACCCCGATAAACAACCGGAACGGAAGGCCGTCAAGCGTAAAGCTCCCGATGATGCTGATGACGTTGTGGAGAAACGAAAAGCGCAAGCCAAACAACGAAAGGTGCGGAAAACAACAATCTGATTTTTTTCTCGGATTAGTGTGATATTTTTTTGGTTGTGTGTTATTCACAATATGTTTCTAAATTTAGCATGAACAGATGGTGGAGAAGCTGAAAGAAGACAACGAGAAGGAGGATAAACTGCTGAAGCAGTTGGAGAAGAAGCTGGGCTTGAAAAAACGCAAGTCGAAAGCGTTGCCGACTTCGTTCGCTGATGAGGGACTTGATTGTAAGCCAAACTGTAAAATAGAACAATTTTGCAGCTGTTTTTAACATGTATTATTTTAAGATATACTTCCAGGATATAATTTAAAAATTTTTAAATGTAATTAATAAATTAAATTAAAATGTTTAAAAAATTAATAGGCAAATTTCATTATTTAATTAAATTCTTAACATTAGGTTAATTTATATTTCTGAGAAATCAAATTTCTGTAAAAATAAATTTCTGAAATTTAAATAGTATAAATTTTCAATATAAACGCTGGTGCACCATTAAATAGTGGTTGCTTTTTGAATTTTTACTGTGCCATTTTGCCATTCATGTGTGAAGGAAACTGATAAGTCGGAATATGGTGATGTTGTAGTACGATGGCGTTTTGGTAGTATCCTAAAAATGCGATATTAACATATGTCAAATCATCCCTGCCGCAATCATATTAAATTTTTTCCCCATTTTAATTTTGAGGCCGCAATTCTAGAGTACCCAGTAGGTGGTTTGATTGGTTTGCTATTATTCGCTATAAGTAATTGATAATTTTACGCGTTTTGTAGACTTGCTGGAAGTGTTGGAGAATCCGAAAAGCGAGATGGAACTGGAAGCACCGGAAGGCGATGACTCCGAGGCAGAATTTCCACATGACCAGCTGTTGGGCAACGACGACGATGATGAGGATGAGGCTCCATTAGAAATCCCTTCGAACAAGGCCTCCACCCAGAATCCCAAAGGAATCTTGAAAAAACCGAAATCTCTCCATCCCGTCGCGGAGACTATCTTGGAAAATTTTGAAGACAGTGATTCTGCTGACATATTCAGCAATGCCGACGAAGGTGACAAGCACGATGATGATGAAGACGAAGAATTCGATGACGACGGCGACGGTGATCTTGACGGTGCAGACGAAGAATTTGATGAGGATGGTGGGGAATATTCCAGTGACAACGACAAAACTGCGGAAGGTGCAGTGGAAAATAGCGATGAAAAGGATGGAGATGGAACATGGGAGGATATTTACGGGCGCTTTCGGGATAAACAAGGCAATGTTATAACGGAGAAGGCCGTGGGGAAGTACATCCCGCCGGGATTGAAAGCGGCGGCTAGCGGTGATGACGGGAAGATGGAGCGGCTGACCAAACAGTTGAAGGGCCTGCTCAACCGTTTAACCGAAGCGAATATGGCTAATATAGTGGCGCAGGTGGAAACGCTCTTCACGACGTACAGCCGGCATGGTAAGAAATCTTGCGTTGTTGACGCTTTTTGTGGAAAGGTTCAGCTGTTTCACTTCTGCGTAATGCTTTCGATTGCTTAAACGCCCGAAATTTTTCTCAGATAGAATTTGAGAAACAGTCGATATTGCTTCTAGATTTTGTTTGGTTTAATCGTCGTTTATATTTTCACCAGTTTTCTAAAGTTTAAGATGAATGGTGCTTTTTGCGTTCCGGTCAAAAATAGACCCTTCCCGAGAAATAATATTTCACACGAGTGCTTCACAACCGATTTAAATTCGATTTTTTTTCACTGACCTGTATTGCATGGGGAGAATTTGTTGCATTAAGGGTTTATGCATCGTGAAGAAACGTAGAAGAACGGCAACTTAGCAATCTCGTCCTATTGGTATAGGTGCCTATGCAGAGTTGCGCGCATTAGATTCTCAAGTTTGTGCCAGAGAATTTTGTGCGCCACTATTAGAAAGAATTAATTTTTTTCTAAGAAATTTAGGTTTTAAAATGGCGCTGTCTTCTTGCGATATTATAACATCAGTGCGATTTCTGGGTTTGAGAGATCTGTTTTAAATTTTATGTTACAGAAATGAATTCCACATTGGTCAAACTCGTTCTCAGCAGTTGCGTGCAGTCCAGCCTGATGCCAAAGCGGTTGGGACTGGAGTACGGGATGTTTCTCGGATTGCTGTATCAGAATGTAGGCCAAGAAACCGGTAAGTTAATTTTATAATAAGGGTACCCTTATAGGCACCCCCTAAAACCCCCGTATATTATAGGCACCCCTTTTCGCACCCCGTTTATTGTAGGCACCCTTTTTAGCTAAAACGATATATAATAGATTCAGTGTTGTTAGGTAATAATGCAGCTTTATTCAGATAATAAATTAATTTTTTCCAGTAATTTTTTGCAATACGTAACTTCTCTAGCACGAGTTAAGTATGTACATCAGGCTTTCCAGTCGATAATAGGATGATTCGGCAAATCAGCTGGCCTAGAGCGAATTTGTATTGCCCCTTTTTGGTGACCATAAGGTCATCTTTCTCGTTGGTCAGATCATTTATTGGCTTCCTTCCAAGCCGTTATCACCTTGTGATTTTCTCAGCTTGTAATACTATTGAGCCGCGACTTTTGTGAATACGATGTTCGCGGGCGATACTACACCGAACACAGATCATTTCAGCAATGTAGGAAAAAACAATCAGGCCGCACTGATTGGACCCCGGCAACAGAAACTCGACAATTGGAAATACTACAGCGACCCGCTTGTGTTCGCCACCGTATAGCATGGATAGGTGCAGTTGGACATGCGGCGACACCGGAGCACTTCAGTCTTCCGGTGTTAGACAGCACCACAATCACGAAAGCGCTGGGAACTTTCACATGTATATTCGTTTAAAAGGTGATTAACGATTCCCTCAAACGGACCTTCACCACGATTCACTTCTTCCATTTCCATTTCTCGTTCTACATTATTTTCATCGGACGTGGCCGCAAATGCTGGCTGCAAGCTTGATGCGAGCTGGGCATTGGTTTCGTCGGATTATAAAGTGTACCATACGAGCCCCAGAGCCGTTATTTTCGTTTTCTCTATAGTGCACGCAACTTTGTAAAACTTTTTTAAACTTAAGGGTTGGCTCCAGAGCTTTAACATCTAGTAGTCTGCACTATGCACGATATTAATCAAAAATGGGTGCCTACAATAAACGGGGTGCGAAAAGGGGTGCCTATAATAAACGGGGGTTTTAGGGGGTGCCTATAACGGTTTCCTTATAATAAACACCATGGGATTCGAAACTTTGTGGGGCGCACATGAGCAGTAAATTTTAATAATTATACGATGTGAAATTTAAATCGGAAATTTCCATTACGACGGGATATTCTTTCCTTAGGTGCTTTCTTCGTTGAGCAGTTGTTGTGCGCTTACGACGAACTCGTGGCTGCCAACGCACATCAGTCGGTGGATGAATTTGATAAGCGACTGGACAATGTGGTTGTGTTATGGTGCCATTTGTTCAATTTCAAAATTGTCCATTCAGCTATGATATTCGATTTACTGGAGGAGTTCACCGCTCGTTTCGAGGAGAAAGATATCGACATGATTCTGATTATACTGCGTGGTAAGTTTTTTTCGTTTCTCTTTCGTGAACAATGCCGTTGGGAATGAATTGATACGAATATTTGACTATGATTTCTTGTTCTGGATTCTTCTGCAGAAGTTGGATTTTCTCTGCGGAAAGCGGATCCGGCTGCGTTGAAGGATTCTTTGGCTACAATTCAATTAAAAGCCAACGAAATGTTAAACCAAAAGTGAGGAAAGTTTTAGAATAATGGCGACTTTTAATAACAGAATTTTACGGCAGTCAACATTTACGTACCGATATAACACTGCAGAGCAGAAGCTACGTACAGAGTTTAAACATCAATATATTGTAGTATAGTGGCTTTGGGTATACGCATCACGGTGATTATGCAAGCTGCACTTAATCAATTCCGTCTTCCACGGATATTAAGTGGATAAATTTTTTTTGGCTAATTTACAGATATATTCATTGTTTCAAATAGCTGTAGGCTTGGTTTTTCTTATTATTCTCATTTCCGTCATGCAGGAAGGTTGATTTAAGTGGCACAACATTTCCTGTTTCGTTACTTTAACGATTTATTTAGCGATTCACTTCTTGGAGTTTCGGCCGTAAAGGTCAATGTACATTTCCGAAGCTCATGTTTGACTTTCGTATGAATTGCAGTTTTAAACTATCCGTTAATACTAAACCCTTCCATACGTAATTTTCAGAATAAGTGCTGAAATCGGTGATTCACGCATTCGTGGTGCCTTGCAGACGAACTGCCGGTTCCCGTTTGACGTTCATGTTGGACATCCTGACGGCCATCCGCAACAACAACATGCGCAAAATCCCCAATTACGACCCCTCGGAACTGGAGCACCTGTCCAAGGTGTACCGGGCATTACTGCGGAAAGGACAAGCGGTGGAAGCCGAACTGAAGATCTCCTTGAATGATCTGCGTTCCGCCAAGGATCGCGGCAAATGGTGGGTGGTGGGGGCGGCCTGGCAGCAGCCGGAGCTGGCGCCCATGGAGAAGCGGACCGTGGGCAGTGATCCGGTGTCGCTGGCCGTGGGAACGGCCAGTGCGCGGCTGCTGGAATTGGCCAGCAAGCAGCGCATGAATACGGATGTGCGGAAGGCGATATTCTGCGCGATCATGGGTGCTGAGGTGAGCTTTTGAAAAACGGTTTTCTGCACAGGTTATTTATCAAACCGGAACGACAGGGGAACGCGTTTTATTTCATGATCTGTTTTGTTAAGAAATCGCTATTAGTTGGTTGAGGTTCTGTTTTCCCTGCTGGCATTTTTATTTAAAACATTTTTCTTAATAATTTATGATTTTGAATGCATGAGTGTCTCCATTTTATTTCTGAGAATGAATATATTCATTTCTGATACAGTGTACTTTTTTAATAACAGCAGTCGACCAAACCGGGTGTTTATATTGTGTCGTAGTTGAGTGGCACTTCAGTTTCCGGCTGTTATCATCAGTATTAAAGTAAAGGTGTCAGGATTAGTGCAGTAATTCCGTAAAACATTGTGGGATTGTAGAAAATTTTTAATAATTTGTGTTATTCTGTCTATATTTTTGTTCATAGTTTTTGATATTCATTTGTGTTGCGTAGCAGAAACACTGGTAAAATTTCATTTCTCTGCAGGACTTTAGCGACGCATTTGAGCGCATCGTGAAACTGAATTTAAAAAGCGCCCAGGAAGCCGAAGTTATTCACGTTTTAATCCACTGCATTCTCAATGAAAAACACTTTAATCCGTACTATGCCTTTGTGATGGACAAATTCTGTGGATCACATCGTACCTTCCAGGTGAGTGTCGTCGGCAAAAGTGTCTTTATTATTCTGACTGGACGGTTGTCTTTTTACTGCTGTTAGTTAAACAAAAATTTCGAAAACAAGCGCACGTAAATGTGTTAAAAGGCTGCTTAATCGTGAATTGAGGGAGCTGAAGATTTAATTTACAACGTTTTGCGAATTTGTGTCTAATCATATTTTGTTTTAAAAAATGTTTACGGCACTTACGTGCGCGAAGTCGAACCAAACACTCGCATTTATAGACTATTGCCTTGCTGTTTGCAAGGGTTTGAACCATCTCAGCGGCTGTGATGTGTTTCGTAGATGAATGGCATTTGAATTGTTAAAGTTACAATTGGGTGATCTCATAATTATCATGAGAATGGAAAACTGTACAACGCGGTCTCAGAAAACTTTTGTAGCAATACTTGTGTTTTTTTATAAGCTTAAATTTAATCTACATTAACAGACGATGGATGAAAGTTTAAATAAATATGAAGTGATTTATTTCATTTTATTTTTTAAATTTTAAAATAAACGAAAAAAAGAGCTGGAATTTGGCCCCACTGACGACGTTTATTTTTCAGCGTCAGCTGTTATTTGCTCTGTGGGACAAAATCCGTGATCTGGCTACACTGAACCCATCCCAACAGAAAAATTTGGCCCAACTTTTGGCGCACGGACTGACCCAACGGACACTGCCCATCACGGTGCTGAAGAAGACCAATTTTGCCGATATGAATGCCGCCCTGGTGGAGTTATTGCGTACTGTCTTGGCGACGCTGCTTTTATCGCCATCCGAAAAAGATATGACGGACATTTTCTCCACATTGGCAGAGAAAAAGTACAAAGTGATGCGGGAAAGCTTGCGCTTGTTTATGCGGCATTTTATGGTTAGAAACGCGAGGAAAATCTTGGTCGATAAGCTGGCCAAGTTTTCCAAAGAGGACTTGATGAAGCGGATTGATTTGGCTGAGAAAGCTTTACTGGGTACCAATAAGTTGTGATAATTGTTGTTTGTGTTGTGAAAAATGTACTGGCTAGTTCGGAATTTATCTGGATAAAATTGGAGAGCTTGTTAATTACTTTGCGACACCGTGTAAATTTATCGCGTTTTCGCCGTCGACCAAATTGTCGGCACGAGTACTTACGAGTATTATGCGTCATAACAGAAAATCCTAAACCGTTTCAACTTTATAAAAAACGTAAAAACCGACCCCAGCAGAAGTGCGTAAATTCGTGACTTTTGTAGTATATGCACACGGTTTATTCTTATGCAGGGAATATATCTGTTCCAGTATTCGGTTTTTTTTAAGAATGAATACTTACTAGAACAGTCAACCACATACTCATGTGTGTTGTCAACTTATTGTTGCTTTCCAAACCGTCAGTAATGAGAAACATCGTAGACGAGTGGCATTTTCAGAGAACGACCGTGACTACATGAATTGTATTCAAGCAGAAATTAAATTACGAACTTAGGGAGAACTTCTCAGTTCAGAAAGGGAAAAACACTCCGGAAACTGTATAATCTTTTTATTTCAGTTTGCACACCAACCCGGAAAACTAACCACAGCGCCGCTTATAAAGCGCCGAGCCCAAGCACAAAGCCATGAGACAGAGAATAACTTAAAACTCACTAAAAATACAGCGTAAAAACCGCTCTGTCCCACTGTCAACACACATTATACCTTCCCCATCGCAGTATGGCCAAAAAATACTCCGAAGAATCGAAAACAGCATTTGCCAAGCTTCAGAAAAAAACCACAACGTTCCTCACAGTGCATCGTTGTCGGGGCAATGGCGCGTCTTTGAAAAGAAGGCCAAGTGTCTAATTCGTCGAAACTACAGGACACAGAGACCGAAAGATAAAAACTCTGGAATAATAAAAAAAAAACTCTGCATTGACACTCTTCAAAAAAACTGAAGAAAAACAAAAAATACAGCGAAAAAACGTGTCGCTGTTCGGCTCGATTCACACAGTCGGTCGTTGGATGCTCCGAACGGATGGACACATCGGTCCGTTCAGTGCCGACAATATTACGGACGATGAAATCTATAAAAGGATTAAATTCGTTTTATTAAATTCAACATTACCGAAGTCTTCGTTTGCGCGTGTTACCTCGTATACTGCCGGCTTGATTCGTGGACTTCCATTTCGGCTTTCTTGTAATCGTTTAGCTCTTTCCGAATGGCAGCCTAAAAAATACCATAATAAAAAATACTGTAACAAAAATTTCTATGATGTAAATTTTAAAAAAAGACGCAACCATTAGAATTCCGTTATCTTGGCGGCTATTGCCCATATAAAATTAGAATTCCTTGTTTACCGAAGAAAATGATGGAAAGGTAATTGTCGAAATTTCGACGATAACGAATAAAAATGCCGAATCGATCACAAATCGTTAGAAACAATGCTAGAAAACAGACCCTAAAATTGTTGGAACTTCGACAATAATAAATTAGTCATACAAAATTGCTGGAAGAAGCTGTAGCCGAAATCGCTGAAAAAAACATTTCGAAAAAAGACCAACAAATCGCTGACACGTTGACATGAATTAACGTTGCAGGAAAATGCCGGATCATGTGGATACCTTATCTTTGGGCGTCAATCGGGTCCAGGGCTTATCAGCGCGCCGATCCCACTCATCGACCTGATTGACTTCCACGTAGTCATTAAAACGAATGATCTTGAGCTCCTTGAGTTCCTCAATCGTCGGACGGAAGCTCAACTGCCAACAATCAATAAAACAATATCACACACACAGCTCCCCTTTGGCCCCACTACACAGCCACGCACTTTACGCATCAACTGGTTCTGGCGCTCCTTCATATCTATCGGCTGCTCGGCTTCATCTGCAATACACACACCAACGCACCCTTAAATTTATTTGCATTTTCGCCGAAAAAAGAAATCCACATTCTACCACAAAATTCCTAAAAGCGGACATTTTCAACCGTTTACAGGAACACTTAAAAAATCACAGTACAAAATGTTGTTGATTTATCGTTTTTGAATGAGTTACAAGCGAATCTGGCGTGCAGTGGCTCGCGTTAATGATGATAAATGTAACGAACCTTTGATAATGTTGCGCTGTGTTAGCTCTTCCAGGGTCGGTCGGAGACTCAGCCGGCTACAAAGATGACATAATACATTGCGTTTAACGATCACATTGCGATTTAGTCTGATTGTCAGTGCCTAATAAAAAACGCTTCACAGCAATACGATCATTAAAAGTCCAAGCGAAGTGATCTTCACTAACAAACAAAACCTTCCTTCAGTTTTTTAACAAAAATGCTTTTAAATTTTCAAAAAACAGACAACCAATAACAAAACACCCAATAAGAAGACCATAAACGTCCATAATTACAATTACAAAAAAAACATCGTCATTATTTGATAATTTGACACAGAATTTTCAGCAATTTCAGTAATTATTTTCAGCAATTTTTCGTATTTCAACAACGATAATTTTCAGAGTCACTTATTTTTTAATTCTGAGATTTTTTAGTTTGGTTTTTAAAAACAACAATTTTATTTAATTTACAAAAAGTCAGACAACTAACGGAGTAGATAAATAAGGCAAAACAAAGGTCACTAAAGCACCAAAGCGTTCCCATAATAATTAACACGAAATGTTTCATAACTCAGCATGAGAATTTTCCAACTCGAAAAGCTATGATTTGGAGAAGCCCTTTATTTTTCTATCACTATAGACGAGGTAGAAATCGATGACCTTATCATTGACCTCAACGATATATTCGTTTTAAGCGTTTATCCAATATTTCTAATCCCGTTACTAAAGCGCGTTGCAAATGAGACCGGAAAAGGAGGGATACACAGCTGTGCGCGAAGCAGAAATCAATGCGCAGCTAAATTACCGTTGCAATCGATTGCCAATTTCGCTAATCTCGTGTTTGCGATCCTCATCCGGCACCACTTCCCGGCCCACTCGGACTTCGCTGAGTCGGCGACCGGTGCGTTTGGCTTCCAGATGGATGGCCAGGGAATCCTTCCGTATCACACGCCGACTTAATCCGCTGCCTAAAACACACACACAACGGTATACAGCCAATCCCGGGATTATCCCCGTCCACCCATAAGCGTCACTAAATACTGACTTTCCATCACGCAACTGAGCCCTGCCCGCAGCATACTGCAAGATTTTATCCCAGCCCAAATATCCACATTTAAAAAGAAGATTTCAGCTAAAAAAATATGTAACAAAATAATGACAGCAGTATCAATTAAAAAACGTAGCTTAATCCAATTCAAAATCACATTTAGGGCGCCGTGAAAGATGTACACGAAATTAAACCGCAAACAGCCACAACACCACGAATGTACTAGCATGAATGAAGTACAAGCATTTAAACCGGGAAATTTTTGACTTTGAAAATCAACAGTAAAAACCTGTGCGTAACAATCTCAGTTCTTAATCTCTCTGCAACGAGGACAAAATATTCCTGACAAGCCAAGTGTACAACCGGAGCAACGAAGAATTTAATTTTCAAAATATGAAAATACTGTTCATCTAAAATGCAAAAAATATTATGAGAGCTCTGCTTTGGTGTACAACAACTTAACGAATATGGTTAATAAAAAAGGCAAAAAAATATTATGATCGCTTTTCTTTATTAATCATTATCGAGACTTTACTGATGCTGCCTCCCAAATTGCTCGAAAACGTTCGCCAGTACGCAGCCACACCACTACAAAGACAGTTACACACCCGGGATGCTAAATACAAATCTTGAAATTTAGGAAATTCAACAGCAAAAACCTGTGCGTAACTGCGGCATTTATTATAAATGCCACAATTATCTCGCTGTAAAAAAGGCGAACTATTCCCGACACGCAGAGTGCACTCCCCAGAGCGCAGCAATAATAAACCCCCTTTCAGTGCTCTACAGACTACACATCCCCACGCACTCACCGGTCTCCGACTCACTATCCGATTCATCAAAACTGTCATGCGACTCATCACTCTCCATTTCCTCATCGCCGGCCGGCGTCTCCACCACCAGCGGGACCGTGGTGTGATGGAGGAAGTGTTCTACAACGCAGACACACACACGCAGTCAAGAAACAGTCATCGAAAGCCCCCCGGGAGGAGCAGTCAATGCCAATCTGATTGCTCTGCGTACCGGACGAATTGTTCCGGCCACTGCCGGTTCCCTCGCTCCCACCGGCAGTCGACAGCGGAAGGGAGCGTGGCGGAGTGAAGGTCAGCGGGGATGTGTTCACCGGCGCCTCACCGCTGACGCCTACGCGGCGCCGCGTGGCGGTGGGCTTGGAGGCCGGGCTGTCACCGTGCGTCTCCTAGAATTCCGAACCAGTCAACATGAATAAATTATGTCCTAGATGTTTACGACTTTACACGAGTCAGCGCTGAAAAAAATCTTTAATTAGAAATAGCCGCAATGATTTAAAATTTAAATTTTAAAAGTTTCATGGTTTCACAACCATTTAAATCAGGAAATAATCAGCAATAAAAGTTTCGTAACGCCAAAATATTCTAGAACTAAAATTGGAAAAAATGTGCATGTACTGTAATTTATGCGACCGCTGCTGTAGCAGGTTATCCAACCAATGAAAAATTGAATGCATATCCTTATGCGTGCGAAATGGTTAAAAACGGTTATGAGCTAAAGAAACGAAACAAAAACTAATTCAAATGCTCAAGATGAAGACTAAACTTTTTTCACTTCAAGAGATCTGATTAACAGTTTTCTACTCCATAGTTTACTGAATAAATATTGGAGCATTCCACAAACGTTACTGACTTGTGCAGTTGGTTGTGCATGTACAAGTTGCTGCTCATGGATCACAGGCGGACTGGCGGCGACTGTCGTAACGACATGCGTGGTATTGGTGAAGAGGGCATGGCCTAATCCCCAACAACAATAACAACACACATCAAACATTACATCACACAACGCAGAGAGCGAGGAAGAGAACGCACCGGGCTGCTTAAGAGATCCAATACTGGGCGATCCGTTGCGGTCCGGGATATGGCTGGTGATACTCTGCTGCACCAGCGTCACCGTCTTGCTCTTCAACGTCGTGCCCTTGGGCGACTCGTCGGGATGAATCTGTACAAGATGACCGGAAGCCGTGGCGGAAGCGGATGTGGAGGGAGAGGGACAGGAGGTCGTGCTGGCGCCGGTGCCAGTCAGGCCGGAACGGGGAATCGATAGGGGCTGCAGAAAAAACAACCACAATCATATAAAAAATTCAACAAGATTGTGCATCCTTATTATAAGATTTCCTAGGCCCTTTCGTTTTATTCACTATCTAATTTATCTACTTTCTCTGGAAGTGTTATATACAGAGTATGTACTTCTGTATGTACTACGACTTTTTATCAGCAGTGGCATTAAGGTTCCGATCACCATATGCATAAAATTAGAAAGTCCTAAAGAAACAAATCTACGCTTTTTCTTTTTTTCTTTTTATCTACGCTTTTTCCAATCCCTTCGATCTTCTCAAAATTATAACTATGTTCTTGTATTTCTTTTAAACTCGAACAGTTTCTAATTGCACTGATAAAATTTTAATTTTTCAAACAGATGTATTTTCCGTTTTTCCTTGATTTTTCTGTTTCATTTACGTAGAATAAAAACAAATACAAAAAAATTACCATCAATGTGGTGTCTATTATTTTATTTAGTGTCTACCTGCGCTGGCTTATAAGAATGCCAACTGGCTATTGCAGAATAAAAGGAAAAATAAAAATAAACCACGTAATAAATGAATAAAAAAGAAAGAACAAAACTCTCCAATATTTAGAGCAGCTTTCAGGGATCATTCGAATTCTGCAAGGCACGGACGGACGTGTCTCAGTTTTATTTGACGTCAGTGTACTCGTCTCAAGGAGACGTTATTAAATTCCCGTCAAAATTCCATTGATAAACCCGGCCGGATATGTGCTAAAATGTATTTCCTGTTGGAGCAAAAACCACGCCATATTTCCGGGCCAGACAATACAAAAGAGAGCCATTTGAACGGCGTGGTGAACGGCCGTAAAGGAGTTTCATATTCTGGTATTCTACTGTACCTGTGAGCGGAGGAGAGAATCAGGGGAGGTCAGTCTCGTTGAAGAGGAATTTTGAGCATTGGGAAGCGCATGACTATTATCAGGCACACCTTCTGTTCCCGGGAATGGCCAAGGCAACAACAAAGGACAACAAAAACACGCCGTTAACAATTCAATTACGTTGTTGATGTGCTACTCTACATTTCACCGTACATCGTACTGGCACTGGCGTTTACATTTAACACGCACCGCCTTTAAAAGCAATTTCATATCATGTGACTAGAGGGTTATTCGATACGCTACGGCAGTCTCAGAGAATTTCGCTTCTCGCCAAAAACAGCTCGTCAGGTATTTTTCATTTATTCAGATTTGGCTACTTCTCATCACGTGACTGCGTTTAAAGAAAACTCTATAACAAGCCGCAAAGTAAACATAAATTTTGCGCAAATCGATAAAGAAGCCGTGTTAAAAACTTCATACCAAATAAATCAACCATTTTAATTCGTACGTGTACGCAAGCGTATCAATGCGGCAAATAATTTAAACACTTCGCATCAAGATAACGCCGCTAATAAAAAAAATTTTTCAAATTTGGCTTTACGATACAGTAACAAACTGAAATAATCATTGTACAATACATTGCAACAAATACTTCCATTAACTATACAAGTATACACCAATTCATTTGCCGCTTGTCGTCAAGTTTAACTTTTCGATACACAGAGCCATAAACAAACAATTATTACAAAATATAAATTGAATTATAAAGAAGTCGGAAGTATAAAAGGACATTATGGTCCCATTGACACTGGGACCATGCTGAATGTCAAGTCGAAATATCTACGCTGACTACACATGCTGCAGTGCTCCCGGCGCGTTCGCGACACGAATCAATTTTGACAAGACATCATAAAAACTTTCCAGCAGGGTAATTTACTTCGTTCTGACGCATAAAAACAACGGACAACGCATCGTGAAAGCTTTTTCCCTCAAATAAAACCGGAAGCGCCACAAATAATATTACCGAAAAGCCGGTCCGTCATTTATCCAGCCAAAACAGAAAAAACTTAGCACTTTCGCAGGAAAATTTGTTAGCAGTTGTCTTAACAATAATTTATATCCGGCTCTTAAATCAATCAGTAATATCAGGATAAAAATTTGTCAGTTCGTACTTATCAACAACGTTTACCACTGATTTTTTCGCACTACCAAGAAATGACTTAATTACGTTTGCCATTTATGCCGCAAACCACATCAGATAATTTCATATTATCATTGCACTATTCGCACGGATTTTTTAAATATGAAAAACAAAACATAACTTCACTCCTGTTCCAGCTGCTTCAACTTTTCCAGTATGTGATTACCAAAACTACGCTTTGGTAAATAGCTGATATTTTCACCAAAACTCTCAAACTAACATCTTTTCCTTTTGCAACTTTTGCAAAAAAAATCGTTTATAATTTCTAATTCCTGTACGTTTCTTAAAATAAATACATATGCATGGTGAGACCTTCAAGGACATCAAACTGCAAGACCCGGCAGATGAACTGAAAAGCCGCGCGAAATGCAATACGGAGGACATTATCGGTCACGCGAGCAGCGATGGAGATTCGTCAGGCGACGGAAGAAGCGCCACAAGATACACAGGCACTCCTTGTTGGCATCCGCGCCTGCACTGCGCACTTTAATTGCCTTGTAAATCTACCATCCCAGTGGCCATACACCCCAGCGGAAGTGCTAGTTGGGATGATGAAATAAACGGCCACTGCTGCTCGGATCAAACCGGCATCCTTCCCGTTTCCATTAAGACATGCCATAAAAGGCAAAAACCTTGCACAATTCCTGACAATACTTTACTGCGACATTACCACAATAATTACCAATTAGTCATACTACATTCATTTTCAGAAATCAACGCTAGACTGAGTTTATTCAAAGAAACAATTTCACTATTTTAAACGGTGCATTACAAACGTGACAGTAAGTACATTTCAAAGGGCCTTCAAAGAAAATAGCAGAACAATGCTAAACTGGCAAACTCCACATATAATTTATCGGCACGTGATTTTACAAGCAATGCAAAAAGGAGGAATTTAAATGCAAAATAAATTAATTAATTGAAATCAGTGAAATGCAAGCTCCAGCAATAAGCAATCTGTTTTTAACTAGCCTTAATTCCAAAAACCTTTGCATTTCCCGCGCTATTTTCGACCCTTTTTCAAATTTATGGGCACCGGTCGTAGTGCAAAGCTAATTTATTTAAACTCTATAACCGAACTTCATAAAAAAAATTAAAATACGTGTTAGAAATTTTAATCAATATATCAACAACATGTTGTTAATATCTCGCATTAATACAGCAGTTCAACAAAACCATTTTAAACATTTTTTTCAATGTTAATCATTTTTCACCGATAGTTTTTGCGATTACACTCCAATTAAAATCTTTAGTACGGCGATACAGACGCCACATCTCGATTAGCTCTTTTGCCTAGAGTGCCTTCCCGCGAAATACACATTAAAAGTGAAACCTCTTTAAAAATGTGCCCCGATAACTGCCATGCAGCGCGCTCTGTCCGCTGGGACCTGCCAGTGCACATTCTGGCTGATTGGCTCTTCATGGCCGTGAATCCCGCATACCAGCACGTTCATTTATGCCAGGCCGCGAGACGCTATTCAAATGCACTCCGCGACCGGCTCGCGCGCTTCATGGCCAATCAATTGTCCCATTTTTCCCTCGGCAAACGTCCGCATCGGATCGACTCTTCGTGTTGCCGTTCAGTGCCGGCGTTTTGATCTACACAGTGTCAAACTCCATTTCACGGCTCCACACAACCCGAGGAAAACTGTTGTTTTCCACAAAAATCGAATAACATTGGGATTAAATTTTTGCTACGGTTTCCCGGATCTCGGGTTTAATCTCCATTTTATTATCACGACAAAAAGCCGCATCAATGTCTAATTCCCATATTAGCTGCTATTTTCGTTTTTATTTCATGCGTAAAAAGAAAATATTTTTACCACAGGGTTTCTAATCCAAACTTTACAAAATATTCCATTGTTTTCTTTACGGTCACGCACTTGCGCCTGTACGATCAATAATGTCATCGTTAGGTTTTTGTGTTAGCTCTGATTTGTCCGTAATAAGCATTATACAAATAAATATACTCGTTAAAAGGTCGACAACCGTCGCGTGCGTGATAGTTTGCGCCTTGTAAATGATGCGCATGGAAGATATGAAACAGTTTATTAATAACCCCGCTATTCACTGGCTTACGTAAACAAGACATGCAGCAGCAAAAATCGTAGTACACTTCGTTACAAATGCGGTGACACCAAAACTTCACAGAAATGCAAAATGCCCACGGCATAATGCAGACAAATGTCAATTTACGCAAAAAGACCACCACGAAAACGACAACAATGTTGCGAACCGTTACGAAAATTATCGATGTAATTTTCGGATCTCCATTAACTTTTTGTGACGAATATTATCAAAACAATTTCAGACCCTTATTAATTAGTGAGTGCCGAAAATTCTGAAAATTCTCTGCGTCGAATAACTTTCCAACAAGCCAGACGAATAAAATATACAAATAAATTATCACTAAAACATTTTTTGAAATTATTTTAAAAAGCAACAAAGATTCTTCGAATGCGAAACTTTTGCAGCCAGGGTAATGATGCACAATGAAGAAGGAGAAATAAGTAGGAAAAAAGGACAATCAAGTGGAAGATGGTAGGGACTGATGAAAAGTGAGTAAATACATGAAGAGACATGTCATATTTGGTATGAACTGTCATTTCCGTTTACCCTTAGAATCAGCAGCGGAAATGGCGGGAGAGGAGAGAATGAGGCAAGATCGATGGAATCACTGGGATCGGCTCGACGAGGAAAAACCGGACAAGAAGCAGAGCGTATAGAAATACAGTTTGAGCGGCACGATTGGCGAGTCAATGTTAAATTAAACAAGCCCCCACCGACAGCAGCCGATAACGACGCGTGCACACAACAGACAGAGCTCTTCAACAAACAAGACACACAAACGCAAATCAATTACACACGCCGGATCAATGCAAGTTGAGATTAATTACTTTTTTTCTGCGTCACAAAACATTTTCCATTCAAGGATCTAATTCACACGACAAAGCTAAAACAAAATGCGTTCATAAAATCTACGGAAACTAAGAAATTTTGTAAAAATTCCGTATAAATTAATTTATCTATTTAGCGATAACTGAATTCACAGAGGGCCTGACAAAATTACATCCACGTTGACCCAAGTGATTCCAGTGCAAACAACAACTATACGAGATGAAGTCACGCGAAAGCCACAATAAAAATCCGCGATAAGATAGAACACAAATATTCCACGTTCCAAAAATTTGGAAGCGCCGTCATTAAAAACGGCTTTTTTAATCACACACAAATCCGTCACGATAATGCGGAGCACAGAGCTTTTCGCATAAAATATTCCAGACAAAAATTCATGCAAAACTTGCGCTCAATTAAGGATCCTGGAAACGTTTACGGTTCACGAGTTTACCGAAAACATTTCGAGCAAAACAATTTCGAAAATATCGCCATTAGAATTGATCACAAAAAAATCCGGCAGCGGTAATGCAACGCATAACGTTTCGCATTACAATATTCCTGACAAAAATCCCCATAAAAATAGTGATAAATTCAAACCCTAAAACGGTGGCGTTTGGAATTTCTACTATCTACCAAAAATATTTCGAGTAAACAACTTACAAGGCAGCCAACGCGTCGCCAATAATAACAGCAAATATTCCAATTAAATTCGAAAATCAACCCAGATTTCGCCAGTGCCAGCACAATAAATAAACCATAAAGAACCTTCGTAAATTCTGTCCTTTTCTTACCTATCACGCCATCGCCCGCAGCACCCGGGTTGGGCATCTCGCGGGGACTCTGCAGGGAGTGCACCACATCGACATCCTCCATTTCGGCGCTCTTCCGCTGATGGCCATCCCGTCTAGACTTGAGCCATTTCCAGGGGCGCAGCCAGCGACGGAAGCCCGTCAGGCGGGACGAGGAGGTCTTGGCCGTGGGCACCGCACTGTCCGACTGGGGGGAGGAGACGGCCGGGGGCGACTGCGGGTCCGAGGGGGAGGCGGCACTGTTACTGACCACCACCACCTCCGCCGAGCGGATCTGCACACTGGTCGTGCCGCTGCCCGTCTCCAGGGGTTCCAGTTTGCGACCGAAACTTATCGGCAGCGTACGCGAGCCTACACATCCATGCAATCAATAACACCCGATATTCTCCACTTTCCCAGGACGAAAAATCACTGTCCGATTATAATCGATAAAATTTCCAATGATTTCACCATATTATGCACCATAAATAAAAAAATTAAATTTTTAAAAATCACTCCGTAGAACGAATCGAGAGTCCCAAATATGACTATGATATTCTGATGTTTTTTTTTAAAAATCCAAACTTCATCAGATACTGTATGGACTGGAAAAGCAAAACTGTTAGAAATGTGGAGAAAAATGTGTATTTAGGAAAAAAATTTGAGGACAGTAGGGTACGCTGGGGAAAAGTAAAAACGACTGCGCGCCGTTCAGTTATCTTGCCTTTGGAAGTGGGTGCTCCATTGACGGAGAGCTTAAGCCGTTTGGTCATGTCGTCGATCCACATCAACATGCATACACGCGGGGGAGAGAGTTAGCAATAGGTCCGCCAGCAGCGTTCTCGTCGTATAATTCAGCCCAGAAAGCCAACCGAATGTTGCTGCTGGTGTGTGTCATATGCCAGCACAGTATGAGGCAAAAAATAACTGGGATGGAAAGACACGGCGCTGAAACATGATTAGCAGCATTATACCGACGCTTGTGCAGCCCAAGATCGGGGCGGTCTGCAGTGGGCAAAAATTAAAAAAGCAACGCAATTATGTCGTGGCGTGGCGGTTTTTTTTCGGCAGTGGCTGGAAAACTGGCAAATCAACTGTGGCGCTCAATCCAACCGCACCGCATAAGTTAAAGGGAAGTATAAAAAAACACACAGGCCTTCTTCTCTTGATCGGCAATTGAGCTGTTGCTCGGCTGTACACACTCACAACGGAAACACACTGCAGGCTGGGAAGAAAAAAGTCTGAATGAACCGATCAAGGCGCTGACTCTGCCAAGGGACTGCGTCAGCTAATCGGCGCCAACACCAGCCGACGCGCTGTGACTGGAATCGATTTCGAGTCATGCAGCCAGTTCCCATCGGCTTCGCGCTCACTGTGATATCCTTGTGACTCGAGTCGAAGTCACTCTCCCAACCGGTCCTAACGGCTGAAGTCTAAACTAGCCGCGACCGCAAAATTTACACGGAGCTGCTTCTCCAAAGCGGTTTAAAAAACTGCGAAACTGAAATATTTTATTAATTTTGTTTTGAACAACTGTGAATCGAAGATCTGTTGTAGTACCAAGTACCAACCGGCAACCAATATGATAATTAAGCTTGATTGTAGCCTTATGTACCTAGGTATATTACATTATAGAATTCTCTACAATATTTACCCACAACTGGTCAGTGGTCACCTTTCGTTTTATGCAACTGGCATGGACATTTTTAAACAGAAATATATGTACAGTACTTAAATAGGCAACTGTCGGCATAATGTTGGTAACAAAGTGCAAGCGCGGTGGCATTACTTCGTATTACTTATAATAAGTACTCGTACTTAAATAAACTACAGACAAGACACTCTCTTCATAAACTATAAAGCTAAAATGTAAACGATGAAAATAGATACACGCTATTTTAACATAATTAGGTTTATACTGAATTAAATTGTACGGAACTACGAATAATTAATTTGTATGGTGTACACAATAGGGCATCGCCTTTGTTAAAGATTATACGGTACACACAGTATGCAAGAAGTTCCTGCACCTAAATCTAATTATCATAAAAACGAATAGTGTATTTGAATATTAATCAGATTTAAGCCAAGTTTTTTAATTGTAACCAGTTAACCAGTTTCTTGTAGGAAATTATTCGATTTCTGGGGGAAAACGTACGCGTATTTACGTACTTCAAGTATAGTTCTATAGAAAGCAGTACCTTCACCCTCTATATATTACAGTACTACGAGTACTTAAATCCTTACCAAACATAAAAAAAGATTCTGTTACAAAAAACAAATTCGGCGGGCGTTTGGACATTAATGTCAAAACGCCTCCCTAATTTTTGTGTGGTTAAAACGCCGACAGAATGCTTTTGCAATAGAATCTTCCTTAATGTATGGCGATGATTATATACTATTGTATAAAAAGAATACTGATAAACGTAAGTATGGTCTAGGTAGCCGTTTTAAGAATTCTCCCAGAAATCTAGTATTTCCGTTATAACGAAATTTTTGCTGCAACAGAATGTAACATAATGTGACTGGGCGTTACCAGTAGTCGTATGCAGTAGATTACTTCGTTATTTCTGTACATGAAATTAATAATTTATTCTACCATTACACCTTTTAGAGACCTGTTTGTTCGCAGTTTCGAAGGCGGGTACACAGAGAAGCACAAAATGAATGCCGCATCAGCGCAGTGTCCAAATACGCAAATGTGATCAGTTTCTGTACCGTTCTCTTTGGTGCATGGTTTTCTGGAGGTTCATCTATACTTCTATAGCATATACCCGGTGTGGAAACTCAGCGGGATGTCACCGAATCGACATACCGTTCCGTGCAAATCAGAATGGCTACTATTCATGCCGAAAATGTTTTAAGTATCAGAAACGGAGAGTTATACCATTTCGGTAATCACCAGTTTCAGTAGTTTGTAAGCGCATCACTTTTACTACAGCTGTTACTCGTGGATTCCGGCTTGATTACACAACGGGATAAGGATGACTCAAAGCACCATGGTTTTTCGAGCTTTACCGATACTCAAGTTTTTCTTCTTAATATTCGCCATCGTAGGCATTTTTCCGCATTATATCCGGTCATTCAGCCCTCCAAAACATTCACCAAAGCGCAGGATTTCGAAATTTCTGCTCACCATCGTTTCGGTGTTGTCATACATTTGGTCGGCGGGGTCGATGCTCTGGCTGTTCTGTTATGTTTGCATTCTCGCTTATATTTTCTCGCAGTCCTACGAAAAAGACGACAAAATGACGGAATTACTCATGAAAGGTTTCTTGCTGCAGTGGATGGGCTCTGGTCTCCTTAACGCCTTCTTTTTCGTAATCAAGAGCGGAAAACTTCCAAAGGTCATACTGGAACTGGAGAACAATATCAACAGCATGGTGTCGGCGAATTACGTAACTAGTGACCACTGGCCATTTAGACGCGACGGAAAATGGTACAAGGTGATGACAGCGGTGGCCTTTGTTACTCTTTGCGTGATCTCCATCATTTGGGTCATGGTTATTGTCCAACCGATGGAGTACAAAGTTCTGTCAACGACCACATTAATTCTAGTGAAATCGGCCGGTGGCAATATCTCTCTTCCAATCCATGCCACATACGAAGATGTCGAAGAGTGGAAACTGAAGATGTCGTTACTGAATCAGACACAGACATCCGATGATAATGGCCTAACTCCGCTCGGTTATATTTTACTATTTGGTCAGTTATGCAGTTATCTTTCCCGTGCACCGCGCGTCGCTGCATTACTAGGCATCCAGGTTCTCTTTATGTTGATCACGATTCCGATGCATGCCGCTTTTCGGGTTTTAACCCGGCAACTAAAACAGCTATTCGAGAACTCCAAATGTGTGGATGAGGATTTTATTCAACGACTGCGAGGTATCGTTTTCAACCACCTCAACCTGACACTGCGCTTACGTGACCTCGACGACGTATTTGGACCTACTCTGCTGTTCCTGTTTATTTCAGATGTGTACGTTATTGTCACCAGTATCGGTATTGTCAAAGGTGAAACTATCTCCACGGGTCCGTTTGCCGAAGAATTTACTTCCGATAAGTTCGTGCGCAGTATCTGTTTGGAGACGATTTTGCTGGCGTTGCGAATTTTCTGTGCGATTCGTGTTCAGGAAGAGGTATTTATATTAGTGTTCACTGCTTTACGCGGAATCGCGAGTGCAGCTACAGAGTTTTTTCAACGCAAGTTTTACATTAACCAAAAAGCGTAGCTTCGAACAAAACATTCTGAAACAAGAGATTACTGGTAGGCCGTTACTTTGATGACTATTATGTAGCTTTGTGCGGTAGAAGTTCATGCCTTTGCTTGTTTTGGGTTTTGTTTTTGCTTTGGGTACTGAAGTACCGAGAGGCGAGAGCATATATTTCTATTTCACACTTTTGTCAACCCTTTCCTTTATATGTAGGCAGCAGAGTTTGGCGTACAGTTGGCGATCCTTACGGAATGGCATGACCTGCCTAACCGTTGCGGTGATACTTACACAAATTATCAACAAACAGTAATCCATCGCTTGGGAGCGGTCAAAGGAACGTTCACGCTTTATCAGCTGTGTGCATTGAACAAAGAATTCGTCGTAACGGTAAGCCGTAAGGGATGCCCATAATACTTATTAGTGTTCGCGCTGGCTGTTACTCTGTTTACCATTAATGGGAAGAACGTTGTAAGTACTGTGCCGATGGAGGTACATAATACTATTATATAGTCTATATACCCAATATAACGATAGTATTCTACCAAGTCCATCGATCGAACATACCGTTCACCGCCTACATTACAAATTTATTGCTTTGCCGTAGGTCATCGGCATCATGCTGACTTACGTAACACTGGTCTGGGAAATGGATAACAAATAGTACCCAACCTTACGATACCACTATGTGACTATCGAGAACCACTATTCCCGAAGGATATTCCATGAATCCGTTTGCCTGAATTCCCAGATCTATGATGCACTGTAAAACTTCGCAAATCGATGCAATGACCGTACACATGTGCTTTCCGTAAATTGTTGGTACTCGTAGCCGTAGCCTTTTATTGTTGCTTTTATTGCACTCGTATCCTTAGTTTGATGTCAGAAATTTTGTTTACATTTTCGTGGTCTCCAGATAACCGAATACTATTTGCTGCATGGATACGACGAAGTTGATATATTAAGATGTGTCTTAAATAGCATACCTTGTGGATTAGCTTGCGCTCATATAGAAAACGAGAACATGCGCTCAGTGTAAAAATTCGTGAATCGATTCGCAGCCGTATACTTTCACCGGCTCAGCAGAGACCTTTAGGCAGAAATGCGATGACTACTCGCAGTCTCGCACCATTTCACCATGCATGCCAAGACTACACCTACAATCACTTTGTCGTTGTTAAAGGTGTTTTTGTTTGTCTTTGCTCTAATGGGCATATTCCCTAGTTATGTTAAACTTCTACTTAATCGATCCCCAACTGACAAACGCAATGCAAGGACTTTTTATTACGTTCGTCGCGGGGTATCAATATTGCTGCGCGTATGGTCAACAGGGATTATGCTGTGCCTTATTGGGAATGCAGGCCTTTTTGCTTATTTGTTTTACCAGTCGTACGATCGTAATGACAAAATGACTGAGTTACTGCTAAAAGCTTTTATGCTACAGTGGAACGGTATAGCACTCTTAATTGCCATCTTTTTTCTCGCTAAAAGTTATAAATTACCAAAGGTCATGCTCGACCTCGAAGGTGACGTGAACGGCATAATATCGGACTTGATGCCGTCACCTTTAGAAACTGGATGGCTAATTCAGCGCGGGGATGTTTTCTATAAAATACTAACCGTTACGTCATTTCTCGTCGTTTTGTTTATGTCCGGAAGTTGGATCGCCTTAATCGCTTCGCCTATGGCGGTTAAGGTCACCTCGGCCGCCATACTCGCCGCTGTACAGTCCGTGTCTCTTAATATCACACTACCAAAGAATGTGACCCTGGATGACATTGGAGAATGGGCGGAGGACATCGCCTATGGACCTATGGACGATCGGTACACTCATGCTGTGACATTATATAACGTTATGTATTTTTCGGGATGCTTGGATGATTTATCGTCTGCACCGACGGCCCTGACCTTGTTCGGCATTCAGATACTTTTCTTGCTGATGACAATCCCCATCTGTGTTGGCTTCCGCATTATTAACCAGCATATGCATCACGTGGTGGAGAGGTTTACAGGCTCGCTCGATCGCAGTG